TCAAACTTGATCTGTGTTTTGTGGTAATAAGCATTGTGTACAAGTTTCATAACATTTGGGTGAGGCAAACTCAAGTTAGAGAACGGAAACCAATTTTGGGACGTACGGACAGACGTACGTACGTATGTACGTACAGACGGACAAAGGTAAAACTTAATGCCCCCACCGCTACGGAGGGGGCATAATAAAAAGTGAATATAATTTGCTGCAGCTTTTCATCCTCACCATTTCCGGCACTATTCAAGTTCTTGCGCACAAAACCCATTTTATTTGTCAGGTTCACACACATGAATGTGACACAACTCTGCAATTTTATTTTAAAAATTTCCTGTCTCGATCGCTTTCCCTTTCTTTAACTACACGACAAAGAGATTTTAAGTAAAAAACGAAATAATTTCTTGTACCATTATTTGTTGAATATCCACATGCACGACTCCCAAAAAATAAGAAAACTGCATCTGCATATTATCTTGAGAATTTTTATGGCTGTAATAAGGTCAAAAGAAGAACCCACATATGAATTTTAGCAAAGAAAAACAGATCGGATTTTTTTATATAACTTGTTCCTGTATATAATGCAAATGAATTGCAGTTTTGTTAATATAATATGAAAATAAGGAGATGTGGTATGATTGCAAATGAGACAACTATCTGCCACAGTTTAAGGTAGATCGGGTGTCTTTTTCTGAGCGTCCGTTCTGATCATGTTGCAAAAATACTTTTTTGTTTTAAAAATATTTTACCAAGTATCATTTAATATACAACAAAATACCTAAAACTTGAAATTTAAAGATTAGACTATCAAAAAATTAAGTGTCGTAAAGTATATTTAAAATTTTTGGGTATTTTTTCAAGAAAATAAGGCCCGTGACCCCCTATTTTTATTTGATATTTCGGAGTTATTAATGAAAAGCAATTCTCTCATTGAATTTTATCCAATTCTATCGTTTAATGTTTTCGCAATAAGGAAAACTTAAGTTTCCCCTATATTAACAATATAAAATAACCCAAATTTCGTTAATTTCAATGTGTTATTACGAAAAAACAAGGTCCGTGATTCCCAGTTTTTATATTGAAATTTGAAATTACATTGACCCAGAAGTTTAAGAAAAATTTATCGTCCAACATTTAGCTACCTTAAATGATGTGAATGTAAACAATTATTATAGGCAACCATACGGCCTTCAACAATGAGAATAAAATGCTTTGCTGGGCGCAGCTTGATACGACCGCAGAGGTCGAACCCTGAACAGTTGGGGCAAGTATGGATACAACATTCAAGCTTGATACAGCTCTGAATTTGGATTGTGATTAAATATTTGACACAGCATAGGTTTCTGACACAGAAAGAATGTGGTCTAAGAACTTCAATTTTTTTTAATTTACCTATTATGGTCCAATGTCCAAAATCAAAATACATGGTTAGATTCAGCATATCAAAGAACCCCATATATTCAATTTTTGTTGAAATCAAACAAAGTTTAATTTTGGACCCCAACTTGGACAAACTTGAAAACTGGTCCCATGATCAAAAATCTAAACACATGTTTAGATTCAGCATATCAAAGTACCCCAAGAATTCAATTTTTGTTAAAATCAAACTAAGTTTAATTTTGGACCCTTTGGACCTTAATGTAGACCAATTTAAAAAACAGGACCCAAAATTAAAAATCTAAAAACACGGTTAGATTTGGCATATCAAAGAACCCCAATAATTCAATTTTTGATGAAATCAAACAAAGTTTAATTTTGGACCCTTTTGACCTCAATATCAACCAATTTGATAGCAGGCCCACAAATAAAAAATCTAAATACATGGTAAGATTCAGCATATCAAAGAACCCCATATATATTCAATTTTTGTTGAAATCAAACAAAGTTTAATTTTGGACCCCAACTTGGACCAACTTGAAAACTGGGCCCATAATCAAAAATCTAAACACATGTTTAGATTCAGCATATCAAAGAACCCCAAGAATTCAATTTTTGTTAAAATCAAACTAAGTTTAATTTTGGACCCTTTGGACCTTAGTGTAGACCAATTTAAAAAACGGGACCCAAAATTAAAAATCTAAATACACAGTTAGATTTGGCATATCAAAGAACCCCAATAATTCAATTTTTGATGAAATCAAACAAAGTTTAATTTTGGACCCTTTTGACCTCAATATGAACCAATTTGATAGCGGGGTCCACAAATAAAAAATCTAAATACATGGTAAGATTCAGCATATCAAAGAACCCCATATATTCAAATTTTGTTGAAATCAAACAAAGTTTAATTTTGGACCCCAATTTGGACCAACTTGAAAACTGGGCCAAAAATCAAAAATCTAAATACATGTTTAGATTCAGCATATCAAAGAACCCCATGTATTCAATTTTTGTTAAAATCAAACAAAGTTTAATTTTGGACCCTTTGGACCTTAATGTAGACCAATTTGAAAACTGGACCCAAAATTAAAAATCTAAATACACGGTTAGATTCGGCATAACAAATAAATAAATGTGGTCAAAGATTTTACAAATCTAATGCGCCATACTGGTCTTCCTTTAATAAATATGCATTTCTTTAAACATAATTTAAAAGCAGTGTAAGGGAAGTAACCAAAACGTTGTATTTGGATTACCTCCCTTACACTGTTTTAAATTATCTTAATTGTTCATTAACCATTACTTTATACATAATTTAAAAGCAGTGTAAGGGAGATAATTTCAATGATGTATTTGATTTATCTCCCTTACACTGCTTTAAATTATGTTTTGTACTAAAGTATTTGTCCATTAATGAGGACAACCTTGTTTTTCCCCCTTTTTTGCCCCTAATTCTTAAACGGTTTGAGCAATAACCCCCCAAAGCAAATCCTAACCATCCCTTTGTGGTATGGAAACTTGTAGTATAATTTCAGAGAGATCCATACACCGTTCCACAGTTATTGTCTGGAAACTAGAAAATGCTTATTTTTGGCCCCTTTTTGGCCCCTAATTCCTTAACTGTTGGTACCATAACCCCCAAAATCAATCCCCACCTTCCTTTTGTGGTATTGAACCTTATGGTAAAATTTCATAGAGATCCATTCACTTAAACTAAAGTTAGAGTGCGAAAACTAATGCGTATTCGGACGACGACGCCGGACGACGACGACGCCAACGTCATACCAATATATGACCACAAAAATTTTTTTGCGGTCGTATAAAAATCCATATCGTATAGTCGGTTATAAAAAGCCCCGACATTGTAGACCTTATTTTCTTCACCCCCTCCCCCTTCTTCCCCTACCTTATACTACTGCTGAATGATACACAAAAGCACAACAAAAGAAAACAAATTTCGCTATCCCTTCGAAATTGGAATTTGCAAAGATAAAGATAAAGAAAAAATAACACGTTCTATTTTTATCATACATGTGTAGTTTCAGTTTCAACTTTGGTTCTAAATTTAGATTTTACTTTCCCCAAAAATTGCGGAAGGAATAGAAGACACCTGTTTATTTTCTGCACCTTGAAAACTGAGATTTGGATGACATAGATTTTACTCTGAGATAAATGTAATAGTGCTCAATTCTTAGTTTCTGAGTGTGTAATGTTTTGTGGACGGAATCTGATGGGTTTTTTTTTTTTTGCTGTTGGCTTTTTCTTCCGCTTATAAATGTTGTACTAGTAGTCGATTACCCCTTAGTATCTTTTATACTTTTTACATAAATAATAAAATATAAAACATCATAAAATTTTCAATTGCATAAAAACGGACATGCCAACGTCTTTCTTGTTCAACACACAAATTTATATGCAATTATTCGTTACCTACAATTTTACGCTACACTGTTAATTTCATTCAAAACTATGGTTTTTCAAAAAACATTGTGGGGTCAATTCTGGTTTGATTTTAATGAATTTGATACGAATAGAAGCAGAATTGTCACTGATTTATTTGTTTATTTGGTTATAATTTTGTTGTTTAGGCGTTTTTACCTTCTGTTGAAATAAACACGAGTGTACCTGCTCCTGCGTGTCTAAAACAAAAACAGTGGTAATAGAGTCAGACTAACTCACAATAGGATACTCAGATTTCTGATTGGAGTCATTATAATAATTTCTTTGAAGTTTTGAGAAAGCACATGAATACTTGTTTGGATTCATGATATACCGCACAAAGTCATTTTTCTTTCATGTGCCCATTTTTATTTCATGGAGTAGGGGAGATAACCCGCGTAACTAACGACGCACGTTTTTTATCCTAAATTCCGCTAGAGGCGTGCAATTACGTACACTTCGCCTTAAGTACTTTTGTCAAATTTTGCAAAGATATCTTTTTGGCCTATTTGGAATGTTAAAATCAATGCTTTAACAAAACTTTGACAAAATCAGGTCTATTTTCACTTTCTTAAAATGTCTTTTCATCAACTTGAAACATTTCTAATCTTGAAACATAGAACTATATAATCAGGGCAAAATATGGTCCTTACTGAGTTTACTCCTTTGAATGGCAATTTGACAATGTTTTCAACAGTCTTAGGTTTACTTCTATCAAATTATAATTTATCACCAATGATCACGGAGTGTATTTTCCCAAATAATTTAAGAAAATCGCTCAGGAATTACATAATTTATTTCTTCCTTTAAATGCCAAATTGTCTGCACTATTCAACTACTCTGGAAAAAAAAAATATTTGTTCTCATGATATATTTGATGTGTGAGAGTGTTGGCCTATTTCTATGCTAAAGTCGGAGATTCTAGTAGTAGTACAAATGTAGTCCAAATAATTATGACATCGTCGATGTAAGGCGTCAAAGAATAAAAATATAATAGCCTTTCAAGACGTCATAATTATTTGGACTAGTACAAATGATGATCGTATGGAATGCGTTTCAGACCTTCATTTCATCATTTGTACCGAAACTCAGAAAGTAAAGCTCAACAAAACATATTAACTTGACAAGTCTATAACAATTAATATTCAGTCTTATCAGAAAACTTGGTACTGACTTCAAAAGGATACCAACACCAAGGTTTTAATTGCTTCTTTTTCTTCCGTCCCATTTTGCTTGATCTTTCAATATGGCGTATGTTTTTAAAGGGAAATAACTATGCAAGGCGTTTATTTTGTTATCTGTCCTTCTTTTACAGGTAGCGGCTATTGACACAAAATTTTTCAAAAGTCTTTGGTGTCGATTTTGACTATTGATTTCTATTAATATATATATATAGGCATAAAAGGGGTCCATTCCAATAGCAATTGTGCCATTAATGCTTAAAAACAGAAAAAAATCTAAATCGTATGTTCTTCGTCTAATTAGCCTAATTTTTTTTGTTTTGTTTTTACCATCAAGGAGTTGTATATTTAAATTTACAATTCCTTGTTACCATCTAGCTGAATCGTTGTCGACATTTTTGTGGCTCTGATTGTAGGTAAACGGGGAAATAAGGTCACAAGAAAAGAAATCACATGGTTAATAGGAAAAACACTTATACACATTTGATTAATGTAGGAGAAATGTTACAAATCAAATAGGAAATAGTGTTCATTTTTGAAATGTTTAATGGTATTTCTTTTACAGTTCTACGGAAATTTCAAAGGTAAATAAATGACATATTATTTTAAAAAAAACCTATACTTTTAAAGGTTTTAAATGTTATGATCTGTCCAGACAGTAGACAATTGACAAGAAATGTAAATAGTAAATTGATGCCAGTTAATTATAGTTAGTAACCATCTGCAAAATTGTTTTAAAAACTTAACATTTTCATGGACAACATTCTGTTTATAATCTTGGAAAATTTATTAAATTTCAATAAACACAAACATTGATATACAACACCCCTGTATTCTAACATTAAATGATGTTAAAAATATTTTGAAAACCTATCCAGTTGATATTAACTAAATACAATTTCAAATGATTTTCCTGTGACTTTTTATATACATTAGATACATATATATGTTTCTACCTAAAAATCGATTAAAAAGTATATTATTCAAAAAATTAATGTATGTACCAAAATTTATACTTTTTTTTATTATTGAGACTTTATTTCCTGTGACTTTTCATCCATAACTTTTTTCTGTGACTCTGTTTCCTACATTCTGATTAAGCTGGTTCTCGACTGACTACTACACTTTGTTCACAAATCTCGGTAAAATCTCCAGGGCAAAATTTTGCCCTATAAAATCGGGCCGTACCGGTTGTTTGAGCGAAGCATTAAATACAAGCGGATTCTAGTTTACATTCTAATTGTAACAGGCTTATCTTAGTAAAAAAAAAAGCCCCACGGCTCTCAATACAGTCCACTGAAAATCAATACGGAAACAAAATTTGAAACCATTCCAGTGTCACTAAAGCCAAGTTAGTAATGATTGTTATCTGTATTGGCCCCTAATTCCTGCATGTTTGGGGCAATTAACCCCAAACTCAATCCCAGCCTTCCCTTTGTTATATAGAACCTTGTGGTACAATGTCAGAGAGATCCATACACTTACACACAAGTTATTGACTGGAAACTAGAAAAATGCTTGTTTTTGGCCCTTAATTCCTAAACTGTTGACCCCATAACCCCTAAAATGAATCCCAACCTTCTACTTGTGGTATTACACATTGTGGTACAATTTCAGAGCAATCGAAATACTTATTCACAAGTTATTATCCTGAAACTAGAAAAATGCTTGTTTTGGGCCCCTTTTTGGGCCCCTAATTCCTAAACGGTTGGGACCATCATCCCCAAAATCAATCCCAACCTTCCTTTTGTGGTATTAAATCTTCTTAAATGGGTTCATAGAGATCCATTCACTTAAACTAAAGTTATTGTCCGGAAACCAATGTGTCTTCGGACGACGACACAGACGACGACGACGACGACATCATACCATTATACGATCCCAAAAAAATATTTTGCGGTCGTATAAAAATGATCCAATAAGGGAACACAGCTAGTTGAGTGTGCTCCAACACTGGAAAGATTTACGTAAAGAACTGGAAGATTGGAAGGATTGCCAAATGATTCCGATAAAATAAGTTCTAAAATTTGATTTTGGATAGCAGCAAAAACTCAAATTCAAAATAAGAGGACCACATTAGGTGCATGTCTGCATGATGTGTATTTAGTATGCAAGATGGTGTCCGAGAACCTGCATGCATGTAATATTTGTATGGTTTTATTTATGTTCCTTTGAGGTGGTCATTTCTTACTTGGGTTTGTCCACATAAAACTGAAAATTTGTTCAGGATCTTTCCAGTATCATTAGTAAAAGATTTTGTTTAAATGTGGAAATTGTTTCTATGAAGATATGTTATGGTTTTAAGTAACGATAATATACCAGATCCGGCAGATTCCAATACAGATGCTCATAACTCCTACAAACTGATTTAAATTCTTTTAGATATGAACAGGATTGACGGATAATAGGATTAAAAAAAAATATTTGTACTTACTAACACTGATTACCTGTATATATGTATAAGGGAGCTACCATTTGATTTTTTTTTTTGGGGGGGGGGAGGGCTAGGATACTAGTAGTTATAAAGGGACATAACTGAAGAACGGTAAAAGTGATGCTACCCAAATTTGAACTTGATCTGAGTTTTGTGGTAATAAGCATTGTGTGTAAGTCTCAAAACATTTGGTTCAGGCTAACTTACGTAGAGAACAGAAACTAAAGAATGGTAAAAATGTCACCACCAAATTTCATACTTAATCTGTATTATGTAGTAATAAGCATTGTGCATAACATTTGGTTGAGGCAAACTAAAGTTAGAGAATGGAAACGAAAAATTCAGCAGTTTTTTATTTGTAAAGGGGCATACCCTAGAGCGGTAATCAAACAGCTTGTAAGCACTGAATGGTAAAGATTGCTTTAATTTATCAGTAGGAAGTAAAATTGAATATTGCATTGTATAAAGCATTGATTGTATTTGATTCAACTATAATCATGTACAAAGAAAGATAACTCCAATTTTCAAAGAAGACTTTGAAATATTTTTAGATATGAAGGGTAAAAATTGCGTAAATTTATCAGTGGAAGGCAAAATTAAACATTGCATTGTATAAAGCATTGATTGTAATTGATTCAACTATAATCATGTACAAAGGAAGATAACTCCAATTTTGGAAATTACTTAATATTTAGAAAATAAAATTTTTAAAGGGCATAACTCTAGAACAGTTAAAGTGACCGCACCAAAATTCAAACTTGATCTGTATATTGTGGTAATAAGCATTGTGTATAAGTTTCATAAGATTTGGTTGAGGCAAACTGAAGTTAGAGAACGGAAACGAAAAATTAAGCATTTTTTCCATTTGTAAAGGGGCATAACTCTAGAACGGTAAAAGTGACGCCACCAAAATTCAAACTTGATCTGTACTTGGTGGTAATAAGCATTGTGTATAAGTTTCATAACATTTGGTTGAGGCAAACTAAAGTTAGAGATCGGAAACCAACTTTGAGACGTACGTACAATCGTACGTACAGACGGACCAGGGTAAAACTGAACGCCCCCTCCGCTACGGCGGGGGCATAAAAAAGTCAGGATAAACTTGTTAAAAAAATGCAGGACGGAATAGAGTGAAAAATAAAAATGCAGGACAGAGAATACAACTTAAAAAAATGCAGGACAAAATTTTTCATCCTAGCCCCCCCCCCCCCCCCCCACCCTCTCCCTAAAAATCAAATGGTAGCTCCCTAAGTGAATGATCATTTACACTTATGACTCACCAGCAGGCAGCATAGATGTTTAAAAAGTGTTACAAAACCTCCTAGCTCATATTGTTAGTAGCACGAGTAGCATTGTTTGGTAAATTTGTGCATTTTTTATTTGGCTTTTGGACAAAAAATGTTCGGTTCAAGAGTATTAAAATAAAACGCTTTTATCTCCCTTTAAATACTTACATTGAAACGATGGTACAACTCCTTGTTCTGACAGTTTTAATCATCTAACCTTGCAGCAGATCATGTGCAGATGTGAGTTGTCTGTCAAATCTTTATTTCACAAAGAATGCATTTGCATAACAATAAACTGAGCTCAAAGCAAAGCACTTTAATAATACACTTGGACAAAAAGCTCAATCCAGTGATATACCTTGTAATAAAGGACTGTCATGAACATCCAACCTTCATAACCACCTCTATGACCTAACAAACATGCCAAACATGGATCAGAAGTCCTGAAAAAGACATGTATTTTTTTATATCATATAAAATTGAGAATGGAAATGGGGAATGGAAATGGGGAATGTGAGAATGGAATTTGTGAAATAAATATATGTACGTATATGTATCCCAGTTAAAACACACAAAACTGAGTGGTAAAAACATTCAGTTTCTAGCAAGTAGTTCATGCACTAATTAATCATATTTGCTGAGTGCCCTCTTTTTGAAATAAGAACATACTTCCATCTAGGTGAACAAACATTACAACTATAAAATGTTACCAGACTTATTTATCAGTGTCTATTATCCATCACAACTGAATCAATATATATATATACATGTATAAGACTCAGATTGACGTCCAGTCTCTAACCAACCCCCATTCCTGAAGTCGACATACAAATCTGACGTCATAATAAAATAAGATTTCAAATCAGGGGCGGATTTAGGGGGGGGGCAGGGGGCCCGGGCCCCCCTTTTGTGGGAAAAATTTGGTTGATTATATAGGGAATCACTGAGACATGACTGGAGCGGTCCCCCTCTTAGGCAGTCAGTGGGCCCCCGCTTATGAAAATTTCTGGATCCGCCACTGCAAATTACATGTATGACCAATTATATATCCCTGAAATAGACATCTTTTTTGTTGTTCTCAAATTAATGTCCCAATAGTATTGGCTTCTCTAATTGATGTCTTTGTTTACAGACTAGCCACAATGAAATCAAAGTTTCATAAAATGTTAGGTTGAACCTATAGCTAATACTACGTGTACTAAAAAATGGGGAATGAGTCCATGGGACACCGATGATGCCCCCGCTTGCACATCATATACAGTTATAAAGGGACACAACTGAAGAACGGTAAAAGTGAAGCTATCCAAATTTGTACTTGATCTGAGTTTTGTGGTAATAACAATTGTCTATAAGTCTCATAACATTTGGTTGAGGCAACTTAAGTAAGAGAACGGAAACGAAATATTAAGCAATTTTTTCATTTGTAAAGGTGCATAACTCTAGAACAAAAAGTGACACCCCAAAAATTCAAACTTGATCTGTATTTTGTGGTAATAAGCATTGTGTATAAGTTTCATAGCATTTGGTTGAGGCAAACTTAAGTAAGAGAACGGAAACGAAAAATTTAGCAATTTGTCCAATTGTAAAGGGCATAACTCTAGACGACGGTCAAAGTGACGCCCCAAAAATTCAAACTTGATCGGTAATATGCATTGCTTAAAAGTTTCATACCATTTAGTTAAAGCAAACTAAAGTTAGAGAACGGAAACGAAAAATTTAGCAATTTGTCCAATTGTAAAGGGGCATAACTCTAGAACAGTTAAAGTGACGCCACCAAAATTCAAACTTGGTCTGTATTTTGTTGTTATATGCATTGTGTATAAGTTTCATACCATTTGGTTGAGGCAAACTAATGTTAGAGAACGGAAACGAACTTTGGGACGTACGGATGGACAGACAGACAAGGGTAAAACTTAATGCCCCCTCAGCTAGGGAGGGGGCATAAAAAGTTGTGAAAAATATAATATTTTAGATCTTGCAAATACATGTAATAATACATTTCAGCAATTTGCTGTACTTTATAAGTTTTTTATTTTGTCTATTGTTTGAGATTGTGTATTGACCTCTTGACGTCTTTCAATTATCTTTGGCAGTGGATTGTTTTCTTATTGTTGTACATGTATATATATTCATAATCCTTGTGGCATTTATTTAAATGAATATGAAAGGAATATGACAAAGTAGATTGAAAGGATGAACTTCTTACACCAAAATATTAATATGCATGTGCATATACATGTAGTTTTTAAGATGATGTTGATGGTGGTCTTATTGTAATTTACTGAGGTTTGAATTTTTAATTTTAAGCTGTAACATACCCAAGATTTAATGTCAATAGACCATGACAACCATGACTAAGGGGGTTGACAACTAATCCCCATGGATGAGATGTTGTAACTCTGATACATGTACAACAACACACCAAATATTATTGACTTACCAGTACTGGTTCCCCACAAACTGAACTAATCAGATTCAGCATACAACAGAGCTCGACATAAGAATTCACAAATGTTTTTTTTATGTAATTTAGTGAAATAGTTTTTTTCAATTGCATTATTAACTCCAATTCACCCTTCAAGCAAATATCCAATTGGGGTTTTCACCACCAAGCTCTTTAATGTATTGGGGTTTTTCATTAAAATATTGAATTTAGGAATGTTATAATGAAGTTATACCAAACCGAGATGTTCTTCCATGATTTAAATATGTTTCTTTCATTATATATGTGGTGGCTGTTTTATCTGGTTTATTTCTTCAAACGCTCTATTTTTAGAACGTACGGACAAGGGTTAAACTTAATGCCCCCTCCACAACGACGGGGGCATAAAAATGAAGGGAGGTTATTTCAATAGATATAAAGCAGTCAACAAAGTTTAATACTGTTCAAAGCATTTTTTAATTATTATCTGCAAACTGGGAAATCCCCCTTTTTTATGAATAAATTCCCATAACTCTGAAACCTAAAACCTTAAATTTATAAAATTGAAACGGAGCTTGCATCAATAGATATAAACAATTAACCAAAGTTTCATGACAAATGACAACTGCTTAAAGCATTTTTGAGTTAATGTCCCAAAACATGGAAATCCCCCTTTTTGATAAATAAAACCCCCATAACTCAATAATGTAAAGTCTAAAATTCCTAAAAATCTAAAGGGAACTCACATCAATAGATATAATCAATTCAATTTAATCGAAATTAGAGAAAAATGGAATGATGTGTTAGGAGATACAAAACAGAAAATAATAAATATGTTTAGCAAAAGATGAATTGGATCGGGGTTCTGTGTATTCACATTATTTGTACAACTCTCCTTACTGATGGCAAAATATGGAATTTCCGTGACCTAAATGGTTTGCGAAAATTAATATTTTTATATAAAGTATAGGAATTACATTTGTTTCCTTTTTTAATTAAACTTTGGTCATACCAGGTTGTTTTTTTTTCAGAATTTGATAACACTATATCTATACTCCACGTGTGTTTACCTTTTTCTCTCATCACGGTTTTCAACTCTTACTTGCGCGTTGCGGTTGTCCAACATCTAACCGTTGAGGTCTCATGGTTAAGGTTACTGCATATGGAAAAGCTGTTGGTGAATTAGAGTACGGAGAGACAATAATTCAATAGCAGTAGATTTCTGAAGATTTTGATAAAATAAAGGATTTTATTTTTAAAGGAAGTCTATGTACACGTGTTCTATAGCAAAACTTAGCCATTCAAGTATATAAAACATACTCAGCTTTTTGATAATTTTGAAGCATCATATGACTTTAAACTAGTAAATAAAGTAGAATAGGGAAAACTAAGTTTGTAGTTTGACATTCATATATGTACATGCTTATCTTGGCAGTATAAATTTAAATTTAAAGTCTTTTACAAAGATTTACTGCAACCGTTTTATTGGTTTCCCCCAAAATAGTAAGTGTTCATTGTATCGTTGAATGGTGTACAGTAATGCTTGGGTAAGATCACCTTTTAAAAAATACGCAAGAGCTACTAGTAAAGAATTGTACTAAATACGCTTGAGTATCATTCAGCAAAAGGAAACAGTATAATAAAACATAATACACGACACTTTAACGAAATTAATGAGTGGGGAAACGGAGAGCTAACGTATCTTGAAGAACAAAAATATAGTTTCATATACGGAATAACCCTTTCACAATTTAAAAAGTCACCCTGTTCTCTCACACAACCGAAAATTTAGTCTTGAATACATTTACAATGTTTTTGGAATTGTTTTTCTGACAAGTTTAAAGCAAAATTCGACCAATTTTCATTTATATAGAATATTTCAACATTTTGATACAGTCCGTTTTTTTAGGGTAGAGTAAGTGTCTATAAACTACCTTTGACATGTTTATTAAAGATTACAGAACACATATTTCTTATATCCTAGTATACGGAAGAAATGATTAATACGTGGGAAATCTTTATCAAACAGGAAGTATAACGCAAAGGAGCTGATTGAGGTTCGTATATTCAAATATGATAACTATAGTTGTTTATATTTTATGATTGAGCATTTTCCGAGCCTGTATTTTTCCTCGGTGGATATAGTTACACATTTCTGATTTAAAACGCATTGTTTGTCTTTTTATTAACTGACATGACGCAAAGGTTAATGTGAACTAGACGAGTTTTGATGTGGTTCACAGAATAGAGAATAACATGAATAATGGACAAACAAGTAAAGAATAATTGCAAAAAATAAAGAATAGAGAAAAAAGGCAAATCAGACAAAAAGAAAAGAGAACAATGGTGTGCTAAAATTCAAAGAATATAGAAAAATGCTCTAAACAATAACTTTGAGTAAATAATAAATTGAAAACATATAATAGTACTCAAATCAAACTATACTCAATTAAAACGGAAATACATAAATGATCCCCCCGGCACGTATATACCTGGTATAAAACGCCATCAACTTGACCATATTTTGTGCTTATACCAAGACAGGTTATATAAAGATAATGCTAATTTCTTTTCATTCTTCATAAGAATCTCGTATATGAAGTCTGCCTGTTATGAATAAAGTCACAAGTCGGTAAGAAAGGACCACAGTTGATTCCCATGTGTATTCAAAGCATTTGAAGAACGTCACTGTTATATAAATAACACATAGCTGATAGGGTGATAGAGCAGATTGATACCCCGAGAAAACATTGCCAACCGAGGAGAAGCCAAGGTTGACAATGTCTTTTCGAGGGGTAACAATATGCTCTAACACCCTCTCAGATAATAAGTTAACTAATTTATTATACTGAATGCTCTGTTATTACTGTCTATTAAAGGGGCATTAGCTACGAGATATGAAAAAAATAAAAATATTATTTTTTTTGTTCAATCATTAATGAAAGTGAAATAGTGAAATAATAATTCGCCTTTTAGCAGCCAATTTGGTTCAATTTTATCAAAATAAGCTAAGAAACATCGCTGATGAATTATTCACTTGCAAGTGAATAATTCGACCTCATTGAATCCATATTCATGTGACCTTCAATTTAACCCTCAGCTTGACATGGGTAACGCATGCATTCAGCTATTAAAGGAAAAGAATGTCAACATTGAAAGTAAAACAAGGATGAACCATTTGGTTGACTGATTCGATCCTCAAAAAAATCATTCTTCTACAGGTAACAACGATGATAAACATACTTTTAAACCTACAATATGAAATCAAACAGACCTAGAAAAATCCAATTGCACGTGGTCACTATCTGTTTAAATTTATATTTATGTTTATATCGGGTTATATGACCGTCGGCAGTCTTCGGAGGTCATCTCGACGGTTAATAAGATGAGGCAAAAATACACACGAAATGTTGATACATTGGTCCAGTTATTAAAGATACTAACTTCATATAAAGTCATTAAATAAACAATATTAAAGAACGTCTATAGTATTCGACCCTGGAAATAAGTAGTCACCCTAGTCAAATCACGTCCAAACACGTAAATGCATTTATGCAGATAATTTAAACAAACACATATTGATAATCTTCTTCAATTCTATAACCGAGCATCATATTTCAAATGACGATAATTATATACCCTTTGTATATCGATCGGCACACTTACTAGAGGTTTCTCGATTTGGTACCGTACCAAACCGTAGTACGAACTAAGAGCCGTCATTGAACTTTTTTTTACACTTAATACAAGTGTGGACACAGATCAGTGTGGATAGTATGATTGGATATTTGACAGTGTTTTATATGACAAAAGGAGTTCTATGTTTTATGTTTTCTATGTATTAACTGTGTTGCACAATGACAACCAACATGAGCATTAGGGGTGTTGTTTATGTAATATTTCGTTTTTTATGTTCAACACGGGCATGGAAGAGATACTAACTGCATTAATTACCAAATGATTATGATAGAATATATATGTTCCACATCTTTGATTTTGGATACATTTTGTAGCTAGGAGAGGAACACATAATAGGTTCATTTTTTTCTTAATGTGATTTTTTTTATATGGGAGATGGTATCTGAGAACATGTATTTGCTTACTATTTGTATGGTTCTATTTATATTACTTTGTGGGGGATTGTCAGTATCATAAGTAAAAGATTTCGGTTAAATGTGGCATTTAATGTTTTTTTAGTTATGACAATGCCTGACATGATGATTGGGGCTAGATGAGCTAGAAAGTGATTTTCTGTGTTATTTTTTATTAATTCTTTGAAAATATCTCCTCCAAAGCTGGTCAAAGCAAAAAAAGTTTTGACCAGTATGAAAATGATATAAACAAAAGAACCTTTGTGAGCATGCTTCAAAGACTCATAACTAACTACAGAAGTCATATGATAAAATGTCAAGTGGATATTATGAACATCTACTTAATATGTCAAGTGGATATTATGAACATCTACTTAATATGTCTAAATATCTAAAAAGTTTTAGTATTCAATATGAAAAAGCTATTGCAAAAGTATTCTCTTTTCAGTTTTTTTTGTTATATGGATACAAATATAAGTGATACCAATACAGTAAGGCAGTTTTGTTATGGTATGAAAGTGTAGTAATTAACAATTCACACAAATTAAGAAATAAAAAAATGAATGATAAATGTTGAACATGTACAATGAAATATATTTTAGAAATCAATTAGGCCAGATATATAGGCCTTATAAATTTTGGTCTTTTTCTTAACATACTGAATGACCATTTACACTCAGGACTGAGTCGCCAGTAGGCAGTACAGATGTAAAAAAATAAAGTGTAACAAAAGAACCTAGCATCATATTGCTAGTAGCGCCAGTAGCATTGTTTGGTGAATTTGTGCTTCTTTTTTTTTTAGTTTGGCTAATGGACAAAAAATGTTTGGTTCAAATCTAAATAAAATGCTTTTATCTCCCTATTACTTACGTTGTTCACAGAATGGATACTACTTTGACAATTCCTTGTACATGAGAGTTGTCTGTCAAATCTTTATTTCACAAAGAATGAATTGCATAACAATGAACTGAGCTCAAAGCAAAGCACTTTAATAATACACTTAGACAATGAGCTCAATCCAGTGATATACTTTGTACTACAGGTCCTTCATGAACATCCTACTGGCCAAAACCATATCTCACAAACATGCCATACAACATGGTTGGATCAGAAGTCCTGAAAAAAACATGAACTTTATTAACATATTTTAAGTATATACACCGTTTAAAACTTTCACAAATTTGTGGTAAAATTATTCAGAATCTAGCAACTACCAATCGCTTCATGCACAAATTGTACACTTAATATTAACGTAGTTTTATGAATCTTTATCAAAAGTATTTGGAGGATTTTTAGCTGCAACTTGGTATTAATTTCACGTAAATATTTTTCGTATTTATAGCTAACGATATTGTGTGTACTCGATTGTGCTTTCAAGCAACCGTTGCAAGCAATAGTTTCACGAACGGTTGTAATTTAGATTTATTTTCCCTAAAATTGCTAAGGTAAAAAGAAGCTAAAATATAAAGCAGATTTAAAATCTATCTGATTTTCGCCTGTCATCTTATTAATACAATTAAGAATAAATTGATTGGAATTTTTTGGGTAGTTTTTTTTCGAAAACTTGAAAAAAAAGAGCCATTTTAACATACAAAATTAACCTCGTTTATAGTGTATTGATGATGAAATAATAATAAAATCATAACACCCTGAACGGAATATAAAACATTAATTGTAAATTCGCTCTCAAAATTGTTTTTAAAAAATTCACATATTTAATGTTGTCATATTCTCTACAACCAATATTAAAACAAGTATGTTTTTAAAACATTCTTACATTTTTCGGCATTTATCGCAAAAATTGTCTTACACATGAATGAGAAATTTTACCGACAACAAAAGTACGAAGAAAGGGTCAAATGATAAAATAAGGTGATAAACTTTTTCAAGAAGAGTGTCAGTGCAATTTACATAATTATTTAAAAATTGTTAGATTTTTTTTCAATAATTCTAGACATTGGTGGTTTTTTCATCGGTAATAAGGTCGAAAATATAAATTTTTCAATATTTTCCAGTTTACTTTTTTAGAATGGAAAAAAAATCTTTTGTTGTTGATAAAAACATGAATGGTGCCCTTTTCTCGCTCAATATGAAAGCCCAGATCTCAAATCTTTCAAGAAAAAAATTCTTCTGTTATTATCGAAATATAATTTTTCTTAAATAATAATAACTAATTTCAAAATCATGCAAGAACTATATTGAGAAATCAACACAATTTTGACATGTTGACGTATAGAACCAACATCAGTAACAGGTGTTTAAGAAAGTTGTTCATATATAGTATTTTAATTATTCCAAATTATGTTTAGATATAAGATTTTTATGCCCCACCTTCGATAGTAGAGGGGCATTATGTTTTTCGATCTGTGCGTTCGTTTGTTCGTCCGTCCGTCCGTCCGTCCGTCCCGCTTCAGGTTAAAGTTTTTGGTCAAGGTAGTTTTTGATGAAGTTGAAGTCCAATCAACTTGAAACTTAGTGAACATGTTCCCTATGATATGATCTTTCTAATTTTAATGCCAAATTAGAGTTTTTACCCCAATTTCACGGTCCACAAAACATAGAAAATGATAGTGCGAGTGGGGCATCCGTGTACTATGGACACGTTCTTGTTTATATATATATAAACAAAACAAAATCACTACATTACACAAACAGAAACACAAATCTATATTTAGAATTTAAAGGTCATCTCAACTCAGTTTATGTAAGGTCTGTTTGATTTATGCACTTGTGCACTAACTAAATAATCTTGTATAGAATCATAAGCAAAGTATTCTAGAAACGGTGAAATCGCTAACAAACAAAAAGTAAAACTAGATTTTTCTGATCTTAAATTTTATAATGATCAATAAAATAATCTCATGCATTAAATGATAGCTCCAAAACAACACTAACGGTTGCGTTATACGTACCAACCGTACCTGATACGTAGCAAATCGGGGAAACCTCTACTACGAGGTTTACACTTACCACGAGTCTTGAACTATCAGAGATCTACGATCTGATTCAGTACTTGAGACCTGTATAGTCCGTTTATTTATTTTTTATTTATTTTTCTTTTCGTAACTATGTTTCATCTTTCAACATGAAAACAAATGGTAAAATTTGTCATTTCAGGGCGATAATTCCTATAATAAGTCGTCCGACTTATTTGGTGAAAACGGTCTGCAGGTAGACCTCAACATTTCTGTCCCTTTATGAGATTTCTATCGTTTTTAAAATGAAACTTAGTAATGAGTTTTCTATCGTTTGACGTTTGTATTCAAGTCTTCCGCTGAAAAAAGTCGTTTACAATATCCGAAATCTTGAATCCCCAACATCTCATTTTTATGTAGTAAGTTCAATACAGTCCACACGTTTCCAAATCATCGAGTTGTATTTGACATTGAGAAAAACATTGATTTGCAGTTGTCTCTAATTCATAAATATGATTGCTGTTGTTAAGCAAAATTTTTGCTGCTATGCTCATTACGAAATATGTAAAATATAATAACGATACCTTAGATAGTATATTAGAAAGCAACACCTCATGTAAAAGCAACATCTTAAAACATTGCTAAATTCATACAAAAAAAAAACATTTCTGAACCCTTGCTAGGCATTCTTTCTGTTGCTAGGTTGTTTTTATATAAGCATTAGATCTAAGTAAACTATATCAACGTGACTAATAATTTATAACTTCAAATTCTTTATAAGAGCTATCTTCTCATATTTTATTTAAAAATTATAACATTTAGTTGTTCTTAAACAAAGAATATAATTTGAGATGGGAACTTGTACAGATAAAGCAATTAATATGTGATAATTTTGATATTTGATAAAAAGCGTTGCTAGGGAGCCTTCCTTTTGCCAAACCACAATAAAATCATTGTTTTTTTCCAAGTTTCTGTACGTAGGTCCTCAATGATATAAGTATAAACATATTTGGAGAGGGGACCAAAAACACACTTTATCATACTTTTTCCTTTGGCGGGCCCGACGATGCCGGTAGTGAAAGGCAACCCAGTGACTTCCCTTTTTGTCACAGTTGTCCGTATTGACCACAAGCGCTTTGGGTCTGTCCATCCTATATATTGGAAAGTCGTATGCACAGCCAACGGTGACATTCACGACCTTTAAATTAAATAAGAAACTTCTGTTTAACAAGATTTTTGGAAGTGTATATAGAGAGTCGAAAAGTCATAATTGTCGAATTGAAAGGACCAACAACAATAAAAAAAACACGAATTTATCTAAAACATTCAGAGAGTTTTTTTACATGGCCTTGAATGAAGACGGATTTTTATAAATGTCATTCTTAAAAACTTCCATGTAGTATTTACGTCATACCACTGTCACATTGTTGACTGCTTTGTTGGTCGATTCAAACAAAAACAAAACGCTTTGCAAGTACTTCAAGTTTGTTTTACTCCTAGAAATGTAATTTTAATAATTTGAATTCAACACACTGACAACATAAATTTTCACCTATTTTTACAGATGGCACAGGCTTTGGCAATACCAGGTGATGTCAGAAACAGTTTTGAATTTATCGTATCATTCGAGCACGACTTTGGAAGAATAACTGGGATAGCTGCCACAAGAAAGCGAAACAAATGTATATTACTTTGTGATTATTTGAAAAAAAATCTGGTATTGGTAGATTCACGAGGAAAGTATATGAATAGTCTTCCAACAGAAAGTGAACCATATGATGTTGCTATCACGTGGAGAAATATTGGATATGTGACTTTGCCTAATGCAAGATCTGTTCTGCAGGTAGACCCAGAACTGATGGTTGTTTTAATGAAAACAACATGTCCTGATCTTAATACTTCCGTATTATGTCTTTCATGTATACCATCTGGTGAAAAAAGGAATGCTGCCGATGATTATTCAGAATCTTGTATTGTTGCTGTAGTTTCAAAAGGCGCATCGTATGCAGTTCAGATTAGTCCTTACCAAATGTAAGACAATAGTTCGTTTTGATTTCTCCTAGCTAAATATACTTTTATGAATGTTACAGCTTTATCTTTCATTGTATTTAAGGGCACACTATGCATATTAAAATAGGCATTCATCTAGAATTCATTTCAGAAATAAATGCTTCTTTTTTATAGTGTTATTAGGCATAGAAGCGCTAACCAAAAAGTAAATTAACAAAAATACCGAACTCCAAGGAAAATTCAAAACGGAAAGTCCCTCATCAAATGGCAAAATTAAAAGCTCAAACACATCAAACGAATGGAAAACAACTGTCATATTCCTGACTTGGTACAGACATTTCCTTATATAGAAAATGGTGGATTAAACCTGGTTTTATAGCTAGCTTTAAACCTCTCACTTGAATGACAGTCGCATACAATTCCATTATATTGACAACAAAGCACTGTTTGCATAATGCGCGGAAACCGTCGGTTTTATACTAAAAATGAGCACACGGTCAACAATTTTACAACTCAACAAAAACACAAAAAAAGAGGCAGTCAATTCATATGACTACATTTTAATTAAGGTGGTATGGGTGTCTTCCGCCATCATTGATTGTAAAATAGCAGACCACAATAGGTCTAGAATTTAGTTAGGTCAGCAAATTTCAATACAGGAATTCAACTTTAAGTTACTAAAAAGATTTTTCCTTTAAATGAACAAATTAATGTGATTTTAGATTATTAACAATCATACTTTTTACAAAAAAGTAAAATATTAAGGAGAGTTGGATCAGAAAATATATAATCTACAAAGGAATCTTCAGTAAATTTTGCTATCTATGTTATAGCAGAGCTATCTTCTCTCATATTCAATTTCAAAATTCTATCATTATAGATTATCGTTGGTTATCTCAACGAGATTGATTTTCTCGCTTGAGCCGGTACTGCGAAAGCGAGAAAAGCAATCGAGTTGAGATGACCAATGATAATCTGTTAATCGCTATTTTACCTATGAAGACGTTGTTAATTTCCTTGACAACGGCACGTGTTCCCTTAGTTTCTAGCGATTATTTTCATATCACTCGACTCAATTTTCATATCACTCGACTCCGCTGAGAACGGTAATTTCCAGTCAGCAAGATCAAAGGAAAATTCGTAAAATAGCGATAATTTAGTTTACCTTCTGTTCCCATTATGATGCGTTTTCTCTGAAAATCAGTCCATACAAAATCTGTCATTTTTTTTTACAAAAAAACAGCCTCGGTGACCTATCATTTTTATTATATTTTTGAACATTTTACAATACATACTGCATCTTATACGTTATTATTCTTTGATCCCATACCACCTTAAATCAAGTAAATTACGTATAAAATGTAACCTTTCGTTTGATTTGATTTTTATAACATTCTTGCGTATTCTTGCACAGTTGGACATCAATCTGAATTATGGATGTATAACCTTCATGCAAAGCTTTGATTTCTTGTTTTTTTCATTCACACATGAATGTTTTGTCAAAACGGCAGTGCAGATGTAAAAGAACAAACACATACATACATACATGTGAACTTAATTTTCATACGAAAATACTCAGCTCATTGTAAGGTTTTCCCGCCGCAGGTCGGTGGTTCTCTGTGGGCACTTCGGAATAAAAAAATATCCGCCACGAATTACTGAGCCAATAGTGCTAGAAGTTGCATCAAAACACCAAAAATCATCCAATCGTTGTAAGGTTAACGAGTGGTCCATTATAATACGATATTGTTGATACTTTGTCATGTTGTCGACGTCGCATTATTTTGATGCTGTGTTATTAAACTAAACAATACCTTCTGTACTTAGTATATAACCCTGGTGGTCTAGGGCTCGTGGTGGTACCATAATTTCACGTTAGTTCGTATATCGCTGATATATTACGCAGTTTACCCTGAAATTTTTTTGTTATGCGTATCTACTATGCTTACAGTGCTAGAAGAATGGCCAAGTAGTTACGATTGTAGTAATTCATAAACCAAAACTTTGGTACAGACATCATTCTGATTGGATGCTAAATAGTCACTGAACATGTCTTCAGATCATTCTAGAGTGACAAACAAGACTTACAGAACAAATTGAAAGATCTGATTTTAATCAGATTGAAGTTTTTCCTTCATCTCACAGTATTTGAACGCATCGATTCGTTGTAACACCACCTGCACTGTGTTAGAATTTAATATTGTTTAAACTAAACTGCACATGTCCAGCTCCCTAGACCACTGTATTTTATTTAAAACGCTTGCATTTGGTTTTTGATTTTTCACAATAGACATGATAAACCTCTGTATTTAAGACACGCAAACGATTTTTTTTTTATTTCAAGGAACCTTTCGACAGAAGAGTTAAGATCATTTCACGGTGGATCAGTTATTGCAAACATTTTACCGTTTGACAATTTGGTTGCAAAGTTTCATATGTTGTCCATCAATGATGTCATTTATTGTAAAAGTGGTCAAGATTACATAGTTAAGGAAGCTCTTGGCCAGACTTTAATTTCTAACCGCAAACAAATGCATATTCCTAACATAGAAGTACCAAGTGATGTATGCTCTGATGATTATGGTAACATTTACGTCAGTGGAAAGGGATCCAACACTATACATAGATTGACGGAGGAAGGAAAGGTTCTTGACATTCCATTGGCTAGTCAACACGGGATAAAACAACCCATCGCTATCTGTTTCAACCATGATTACACTAAATTTTATATTGCTAATGAATGGGGAAGAAAAGTCCTTGTATTTAGAGTTCATTGATTATTAGGCTAACACATTTTAGTGAGTTACGTTAGTGCTTGTTACGTATTAACTGTATGTAATCTTACGTAATATTTTTGTATGTGTAGAATTCTTCTCAAAGTTGAACATATTTAGTGTGAAATTGTATGTATTTGAATATTTTGTAATATACAAGTATTTGCAGATTGTTTTGGAAGTTAAATCAAATTGTTTAGAAAACAAAAATGGATATGGTTTATTGATTCAAACTGGATGTATGCTTTTCTCTGTTTCAATAGTATCGATTTATATAACTTTACTAGCCACTTAACTTTAGCTGATGTAAATCTCTCGATTTAATATACAGTATGTACAGTAACTGTTCACTAATTGATATACCCTTATGTTAGTAATCATGCTCGAGTAATCATGCCCTCACATGATGGGCCCTCAATTGGTTTAATGAAAAGATGTATAGTATAGGATGTTAACGTAGATAACCAATTAATACAGCTAACATGAATGATTGATTGATTGTTTGTGTTTAACGGCATTTTTTGCACTCTTGACTATATCATGGCGGTCCGGAGGAAGTCGAAGTGGCCATTGAGAACCACCGTGAGATTCAATTTCCCGCATTTTTTTGTACCCCGAAAAGCTGTATCCAGGTTAAAAACTCATTTTTTCACACTATTCCACTGCTACATGTATACTAGCTTATAGATTTCTGTCTACTTGTAACTCCTACTAGATTTAGGAGAAGACCAAATCCTCGTATCATCGAGTCGAACGACTCGTGTCCATTTTACCACGAGATCCCATAATCCTGATGTTCCTTTATATCGCTCTATATCCATCATGATAGCATCCCCATCAAAGGTGATGTGGTCTTTCCCGATGAAAATCGCAAGCCAAACGCGTCAGTGGTCAGCGTGAATGGAGATACTGATATACAGGGGGTCTTAGAAAAGGCAATGCATCGTCAAACTCAGCAGATGTGTGTTATGTCTATACTGGAATATGTAGCATTGCTAAAATGTCTTCTATTAATTTGGTGATATGAGAAGTCGTTTCCTTTTGTGCCTTAAAGGACATTAACCACAGGTTCAATGCTTTGAAAATGTATTACCGTAATATGTAACTACTAGTACGATGAGTTTATTTACAAATGAAAATTAAATTTTATAAATTTCGTGTGTCCTTCGCCTTTTGGATTTAATGCGTAATGTCGATCAGCATACCATATGTGATCGTAATCATCCTCTTAAATGTCTGAGACATTGTTCTTGGTATGATTGACATGGCTAGGTGTATTGATGTCATTTTGATGTCTTTACTCTACATTGTGGTTGTTGTTTACTCAAGTCGACACTAACAGTTTCAAACATCCATGCACATGAGTTTGCCGTTTCAGTGGCGGATCCAGAAGGGGGGGGGGGGGGGGGGGGTTCCGTGGGTTGGAACCCCCCCCCCCCTTTATCCTGGGTTGGGACCCCCCCCCCCCTTTTATCCTGGGTTGGGAACCCCCCTTTTAAAAAAGGCTGGATCCGCCCCTGCGTAAAAAGAATCTCGCACGGTACTCTCAGGTGTATATATAACAAATTTCCCTCCGGTGTTCAACAGCAATATCTTATAGAAATCTGATTTTCCGATGATCAAATCTCTGATCGATCGCTGTGACAGGAGGAAGTAATTCGTGGTTCCGACTGGTCAAGGTAAAGTTTTCATGGTTAGTTCCGTTTTCTCAGAATTAAACTATAAGTTATCGGTCAACTACATTTAATGTATACACTGATAGTGAGGACATGTCGACATGACAAAAAATGGATGTTCATCTGTCCTTGATATATTTATCGATCTTCCCGTCGAAGAGTGGACTGATTTTGAATGTAGATAATCTGTATCTGTATCTGTATTTCCCACTTCTGTATATGGATGGATGCGTCACAGATTCCTTTCGGCTATTGCGTGACGGGTTGGTCTGCGCACAAGTTAGTCGCGCTTGCTGAGGAGTGCTGTTTTAAACTCCTGGGTTGTAGTGACGCACACTACTGAGTCCTCCGGATGGTTCCACTCTACTGCAGTGCGCACAAAAATGGAGTTTTTGAACTGGTCGGTCTTACTGTTTGGAACTATGCCCGCTCGTTTGTTGCTACGGACTTGTTGGTCTATAATGTTCTTAGTGATAAAGTTGTGAAAGGTTGTAGCTCTAATTTGTCGTTTTGGTCTGTGAAATTTAATAAGGTCGTCAGGAGGGAGCGCTGGTATCTTCCCCTCAACCACTTTGAAAAAGAAAATCAGTCGTTGCTGTTGACGTCTTGATTGTAGTGACGGAAGCTGCAGTTCTTGTAGCATTTTTGAAGGTCAACATGTTCTGACAGAATTCATCCTACATCGAACTCATTTTCATAGAAAGATGATAATGTTCAATTGATGTGATGCCTTTTATAAGACATGATCTGAACGATTTTTAACATAAAATTGATACAACAGTGTACACGCTGAAATTTATCGCCTGTTTTACCTATCAATGAATTTATTTTGAATGTCTGTAATATAAAGGTTTTACTACAAGTATCACATAAACTTATCAATGTTATATGAAAAGTAGGTCACAGTCAGATGAACCATGCCAGACAGACATGTACATCTTACAATCATTTCTCTCACTAACTATGGTGGTCATATCGCTGATAGAACCTGAACGCCAGATCAAACCACAAAATCTTAACATTGACCAATGAACCATGATAACAAGGTCAAGGTCATATGAACCATGCCATACAGACATATTTACCTTGCAATCGTTCCATACCCCAAATTTAATTAATCTATTTCTTATCATATCTGAGAAAAAGACCAAACCACAAAAACTAAACATTGTCCAATGAACCACGAAAATGAGGTCAAGGTCAGATGAAACCTGCCAGACGGACACGTACACCTTACAATCATTCCATACATCAAATATAGTAGCCCTATTGCTCAAAGTATATGAGAAATAGGACAAACCACAACAAGAGTGCACACGCTGAAATGTCTCGCATACTATACTGACCATTAATTTTATGTTGATAGTCCTACATATAAAGTTTTACTACAAGTATCACATTAACATTTATGATCCAAGAAAATGAGGTCAAGGTCAGAAAAACCAAGCTGGAAATACATGTACACCTTTAATACAATCATTCCATACACAGAATATAGATGACCTATTGCTTATAGTATAAAAGAAACCGACCAAACCTTGGAAATTCTATATTGACCAATGAATCATGAAATTAATTCAAGGTCAGATGAACCCTGCCAGACAGACATGTACACATTAAAATCATTCCATGCATCAAATATAGTTGACCTATTGCTTAAAGTATCTAAGAAACAAAGTTAACCAGGAAAACTGAACATTGACCAATCAACCATGAAAATGAGGTGAAGGTCAGATGATACATGCCAGACAGATATATACACCTTACAATAATTCCATACACCAAATATAGTTGACCTATTGCTTAAAGTTTAAGAAAACAGACCAAAACACAAAAACTTAACATAAGCAATGAACCATGAAAATGAGGTCAAGGTCAAATAAAACCTGCCAGACTGACATGTACATCGTAAAATATTTCCATAAACCAAATATTGTTGACCTACTGCATACAGTATCAGAAGAACAGATCAAAACACAAAAACTTAACATTGAGCAATGAACCGTGAAAATGAGGTCAATGTCAAATGAAACCTGCCAGACTGACATGTACATCATAAAATATCTCCATACACCAAATATAGTTGACCTATTGCATACAGTATTAGAAAAACAGACCAAAACACAAAAACTAAACTATGACCACTAAACCATGAAAATGAGGTCAAGGTCAGATGACACCTGCCATTTGGACATGTACATCTTACAATCATTCCATACACCAAATATAGTAGACCTATTGCTTATAGTATCTGAGATATGGACTTGACCACCAAAACTTAACCTTGTTCACTGATCCATGAAATGAGGTCGAGGTCAGGTGAAAACTGTCTGACAGGCATGAGGACCTTGCAAGGTACGCACATACCAAATATAGTTATCCTATTACTCATAATAAGTCACTGAACCATGAAAATGAGGTCAACGACAATGGACATATGACAGACGGAAACTTCATATCACAAGGCATCTATATACAAAGTATGAAGCATCCAGGTCTTCTACCTTCTGAAATATTAAGCTTTTAAGAAGTTAGTTAAATCCCCTGCTGCCGCTGTATCTCTATCCCTATGTTGAGCTTTCTGCGACAAAAGTCGCAGGATCAACAAAAACTAAACATTGTCCATTGAACCATGAAACTGGTTAAGGTCAGATGAAACCTTCAAGTCGGACATGTACACCTTACAATCATTCCATACACCAAATATAGTTGACCTAATGCTTATAGTAGCTGAGATATGGACTTGACTACATAACTTTAACCTTAATCACTGATCAATGAAAAGAGATCGAGGTCAGGTGAACCCTACCTGACGGACTAGTAGACGTTGCAATGAACCCATACACCAAATATAGTTATCCTATTACTCAAAATAAGTGAGTATTTCAAGTAGTCACTGAACCATGAAAATAAGGTCAAGGATAATGGACAGATGACAGACGAAAACTTTGTAATATAAGGTATCTGTATATAAGGTATGAAGAATCCAGGTCTTCTACCTCTGAAATATAAAGCTTTATATAATAGTTTACGCCGTCGCCGCCACCAGATTGTAATCCATCTGTCTCGCATACTGCAACTTTTGTCGCTGGCGAGACACGATTGTTCAGTTTATTACATTTTCTTTATTGCTCGTTAAAACCACTTAGCATACAAGTCCATAACAATTGTGGTCCTATTATGGTATTTATGATAACATTTTGTGAGGAATTATCAGTTTGTCATCTTGTCTATCCTTTATGTTGGCAATTTAATTCCTAATTTTATCATATCTTAGGGATTGAGAATTTTGATTAACCGATGATTTCAGAAATTAGTAAGGTCTTATGAGTTTTATACTAGAAACATCTACCATTCAGTATTATCTTAGCTAGTAACATGACAGTTGTCATAAGCAAAAGCAGCTTACCTTTACAGAGGACCTCAGTGCAACTTCACTTTTTGATGGGGTTCATAAGCACTACTTAATAAATGAGTGCACACACTGACTTTTCTCGCCTATTTTACTGAATATGATTGATTTTATAATAATGGTCTTAAAGAGAAAGGTTTAAATACAAGTATCACATAAACTTATCATTATCAGTGATCCATGACAATGAAGCCAAGGTCAGATAAATCCTACTATACAGACATATAAACCTGACAATCATTTCATACACCAAATAGAGTTTACCGGTTGCTTATTGTATCCAAGAAAAAGACCAAACCATGAAAACTTTACATTGACAATTGAACCATAACAATGAGGTCAAGGTCAGATGACACATGCCTGACAGACATGTACACCTTACAATCATTCTGTGCCCAAAATATAGTTGACCTACTGCCTATGGTATCTGAGAATCAGATTTTGGGCATAATTTCAAAGGATTCATCACAAGATCAACAAGTTATGACTTTGGATTTGTCTTATTGTTAACTGCTACAAGTTTTAAATAATAAGTTCTTCAACAAGATTCTCATTGCAATTTTACAGGCAGGGATTTAATGTTGACATTTGAATGTCTACCACACACACAATCTTTAACACAAGCACACATTCAACTGCAGAATCAGATGTTCAGGACACCATACTGAATGCAACAATGGACTGCTGGACTTAATTTTAAAGCTGGATTTAGAGAGAGGTATTGTGTAATTGGGTTACTGTGTAATTCAGGTTTGACAACATCTTCTTATTTCATATCAATGTGATATGGTTATCAATTCATGCAGTGAAATTTCTAACAATTTAACTGTTAAAATAACAATAATTTATTTCATAAATTATTAATGTATAAATCATATAAATACTATTAGTCAAAATACATTTTGATTTCTTAAATTTTACCCTATGACATAGATTAATTTTTACAATAAAAAAATTAAGGTAAGATATATTATGCATTTAGTTTAGAGCCAAACAGAAACTCTGTAACCATATTTTCGAATTACAACAGGAGCAATAAATAATCAATTTAAATCAAAGTTCAAAAATCACAATAATAAATGCTCACAACAATTTCTGAATTTACAGTGTTCAGTAATGTTTACAGAAGTACCCTAGTACAGTGTATATGAACATTACAGGTGATTGTTAAAGTCACATAATTTCATCAATTTGTGTCACAACGGATTTATCTAAGAATAAACTGCACTCTCAAAGACAGTCTATACTGTATTTTGACCTTTAAAAAAAAGGTAAATTTTATCTTAATGCACTAAAATCATCATTATAGAATTATCTCCCTTCCAGGATATAAAGTAAAGTTTACTTTTGTAAAATTGATTTCAATGAATTCATTTTTATTTATGTTTATGAGGTTTCCTGCTGAGCCAATTCTCAAACATCATTAACACTGAGTCTTGTGAATCCTGATTATCTCCCCTTATTGTAATCTTTGTCTTGTGTTATATTTCATTAAAATCTATTGAACCGTGAACAGAGGAGTTGTTAGGTATAAATTGGAACTGTCAATAAAATTAGACTTGAGTACCATTGTTTCAAACTCTACTGTATTTATGTAAATTCAGACACTGTCTTGTGTATTTATTAAGCTAAGAACAGGGTTAACATATAAGATTAAATAAACCAATGTAAGAAAATGCCTTAGACATCCTGCTATCAGGATTTAAAATGCCTGAGAGTAAAATTTCCCTGATGAAGGTGTATGAGATTTTCAAGTCTTGCTTTCTTGCTAATGCTTAATTCTTTTTCTTAATCACTAAGCATTCCAATTGAATCAAAACTTTCAGAAATAGTTGGTAAAAGTATGCGTCTTTAGCAAGGAATTTGAGCGAGACAGGAATTTATCAGTCCAAAGCAATCTAACGATATTTATCAACAAGGCAAGTAATAAACATCCCATGAAAAAATCAGTATATGGAATGTTTATAATGTTTACAAATATTTTTAATATCAGAGTCTCATTATTTGCTTATAATCCTTTTGACCATTTCGAGTGCTGCATTTCCATTATCCTTAGGAACCTGAAATATAATATAAAAATGATTTTAAATACAATTTTGATTTTAATTTTTGGATTTTTGGATTTTTTGGTGTTTTTACGCCACTTTTAAGCACTGCTTTTGGGCTATTTCGTGGCGGCCAGTTTTTATTAGTGGAGGAAGCTGGAGCGCCTGGAGAAAACCACCGACCTTCTTTTAAATACGAGGAGGGTAGAGTAGTACTAAAAAAAATCATTTTACACCCACCTGATTTCCATGTTAAGAACTGTGTCATGATTGTCTTTAGCTAATCTAATTATATATTGTCTTTTAAAGAATTAGGTGTTAATAGTTGATTGTCTTAGATAAATAACTTTTGTAGACTCTGGGCAATTTAGAACTTAACATACTGTAAAAACACTTGTCAATAATTAAACATGATATGGTAGCCTCTAGATGTCTTTTAGAATCCATTTTTTTTTTGTGTTGCATGGTTGATGACTCCTTGACATTTAATCCACATTAATTAATTCATAATAACCTTACAGAAATTACCATGATGATAGTTCACAAATGGCCTTTCATCATTTAATATCTTCAAATGCAGTTAATTTGTGACTCAGTTGAGTTATTGTGTGTTAATTTTGAAACACTAACATACATTTTAATCCTTAGAAACCCATACATTTCAATCTTTGTGTACATTATACAGGGCTATTAATTTAATTATGCAACCTTACCATGTGACCAGCATCCAGTATCCAGTAGACTGAGAAATTTTTAACAGATTTATAGAATGCTGTCGTTAGTTTTGTACAGGGATCATAAAGAGGCTGTCTTGTAGCATTGTAGTAATCTTTATATATACCAAGCTGTGTGATCCATTTCTCTGTACCTATAAAACACACCAGTATATACAATTTAAATACATTTGAAGGAAGAGAATGGGTAAAATGGCAATTTATCCATATAACCTGTATACCACTCTAGTACATACAATGTAATAACAAAACCAATAAAATTGCATTTTTTCTAAAAAGCATGTTTAGTAAGACATCTTGCACTTCAGTTAATTAATTTTATGTAAATCTGTGTACAATGTATTCAATAGTAAAATATTGCATCCCCTTTATTCATGTTATGTGTGGAATATCAAAACTTTAGAAAAAAAACATGTTATCAATTTCTGCTACATATCTGTATTATACTTGTTTTTTTTTGTTACAGTATATTTTGCATTCAAAGGTATTAATTGTTAAATTCTGACCTGGTGTAGCCACTATTATATCTAACTGTCCTGTGTATACCACAACTGACAGGCTGGTGTTCTGTATCAAATAGTCCACTGTAACATAAATATATACCAAAATAATTTGAATCATGTATCAGACAATAAATAAATTAAAGCTTTAATGGGAAAAGCTGATAAGTTTGATTAGTTTTTCTTTGTTTTAAATGTATTTAAATGATATATAAATATTATGTTTAAATGATTTATTTCTTTTAAATCTTGGTTTAAAATTATGTTTTGTACACATATTTCTTAGCTAAAAAGTGCTTTCTTCAATGGTTGAAGAGTTGATGTGGTTTCACTCAAATTTCCTCGGCCTCTTTTTTTATGTGTGCATTTATATTAAATTAACTTTTCAGGAAAAGGGCAATCAATTGTGCAAAAAATAAATTTTTGTGAAGAAACTCATTTAGCATATTCAATTGTTGCATTGTAAAGATGAATAACTGTTTAAATTTGTTGTAACAATAAAAAACATTAAAACCGCCTATGAAATTAATGTACTGGCATATGTTTACATTGTTTTTTTTTACCTATATCAACAACTGGCTTCATAAAATCTTCTGCTTGATATATAAACACTTTTCCTGATTGTGCTGAAACATAAATTTTAAAAGATAATAAGTACATTTATCGCTATTTTAGGAATTTTTCCTATGATCTTGCTGACTGATAATTTCCGTTCTTAGCGGAGTCAAGTGATATGAAAACGGAGTCGAGTGATATGAAAATTATCGCTAGAAACTAAGTGAACACGTGCCGTTGTCAAGGAAATTAACAACGTCTTCATAGGTAAAATAGCGATAAACAGATTATCATTGGTCATCTCAACTCGATTGCTTTTCTCACTTTCGCCATACCGGCTCAAGCGAGAAAATCAATCTCGTTGAGATGATCAACGATAATCTATAATTACATGCTTTAATTTCGATATAATTTAATAATTTCCACTCAGCACACTAAATGAAAAAGCTATGAAGATTAGTTTTAACATATTTTAAGAAGCAGAATGTACAAAGTAATATACGCAACAAAAAGAAACAACTGACACTTTAAACTTTGGATCAGGAAATAAAAGCCAAAAATTCATTTCATCTAATACTGTTAATTTTCAAGATACTCCAAGAATGATGTTTCACACTTTAATGAGTTTTAATTAAACTTGGACTTACAAAGCTGGTTGGAAATTTTCTTTTCTTTCTTTAAGTGAACTCAAATTTGGTTTTTGTTCACATCATCATGTTTGATTGTCATAATTATATGTACTGGAAAAAAAATGGTTGAGTCCCATATAAACAGAACCTTAACATTGCTGATACATCAAGAATAGTATTGAACAGAATATTATTATCAGTGACAGATATTCCCTATAAAATCATTCTGCTTCTACAGAGGAAGAATAAGGGGAGGGGGGGGGGGGGATCTGTATACAGACTATCTGATTAAATGTCAACAGTAACATGTAAGTAACTCACCTCCCCATTCAACCTTCTCTGGTATATTTAACATTTTTTTTACTTTCCCATTCATTAATGCTGTCAGTTTGTCTGTCCGTAAAGCACCAATCATTCTGTTTATCATTCTTTCTGAAAAAGTTACAATAGATATCATAAACACAGAAATAAATGCAAAATAAAAGAAAGAATGCGTTAGAGAAAAAGAAAATTGTTACCATCAGGACGATCCTTGAAAAGTATGATTCAAATAAACCCTTTTTATAAAAGGGAATGCATTTAATGCATATGTCCATCTATGGCTTCATCTAACAAGACCCAGTATTTATAGACGTATTTACACTTGTATGCAAATTTATCCGCCATTTACTTAAAATCACGCTAGTTCTTGTAAAATTTGACATCACAATTTAAAAAATTTGACGTCATAGTTAAGTGATTGTTGCTTGACATCAGAAGGTTATTCAGAGACGGATCTAAGGTCATTCTGAGACAAAATTCAGCTAAAAAAAAAGTGTAAATACGTTTATTGAGGACTTGAATATTGGTAAATATTTTTACAAACTGTCATGTTCATACCAGAAGTCAAAATCTGAACAAACCTGTGACCAGTTTTAATTGGTGGAGGAAGTCAGAGTACTCCTAAAGAACCACAACCCTTCACAGGAAAACTGGAAAGCCTTGTCAATAAATATCAGAGTCAAACGAACCTTGTCATGAGCAGGATTCAAACTCATAAACTCAAGCCAATGACAATAGGGTTTTGATGTTATGCAATCTTTATCCCAAAAATTATCAATATGAAATACCTTTTACAACATTTAGTTCTATCTGAGAGTAATTTAAAATTACTATCGGTGTTTTATCTCCATGTCCTATCTTAAGCAATAGTGGTCATGTTGATTGGCCAGCAGGGTGTTTGATGATAATATTTAAATGAACTTACAATGACGATTCATGCTTAGTCAATCTGATTTTGGTATAAATAGCCAAAATGTTGTCATAGTAAAATGATTTTATGTTTTTCTGATATGGTCTGAAAACCCTGTTTATAGTGAAACTCTTATACTTGATACCAAATACTGTAAATGTAATGATGATAGATAATCGTATTTCTAAATGCGGCAAACTGGTCAAAAACAATTACCTAATAAAACTTGTTTAAATATGTTTTTCTACACTGCTACTTGATTGAAAAATTTACAAAAAACTTATAAAAATACATATGTAACAAATGATTCTCATTGGCGACTACTAAGCAGGGAATACCCTCAAAGAAAAAAAGTTCACCATATTGTAAAGCTCACCTTTAAGATTATTTGAAGATTTAAGCCCTGCTTCTGAACCTCCCCAGGCCAACATGTTATAAAAGTTGACACCATTACTTTCTGTCTCTAAGATATCCTGAACGATCCCCCATTGTGTTGTGGCCTCTTTCCACATTCCTCCCTCTATCATCTGTGTCATCTTCAATGCCGCTTCATTTATTTTGTAAAATCCTTTTTCATCTATAATAGACTGTAATAAAAAATGAAAACAACACTTCATTTCATGCGTCCGAGGCGCTTTTCTTGATTTACCTTCATCAGGGAACGCTCAAAGCCAAACATTTGAAAGATATACTCAATCAAGTGTGTAATTATTATTATAATACTTACTGTGGATTCATTATTATTCGTTGGATACCAATTTTTGTGGGTTTTGTGGGTACAGGTGAACCATGAATTCAAATGTTCAACGAATTACAAATTTTCTATAGGCTTTGTATGCAGAGATTGGCAAAACCACGAATTCAAATACCCACGAAAATGCAAGTTTTCCTCAATCCACGAAAATTGATACTCACGAAAATAAATGAATCCACAGTATTTTGATTATTGCTTTTATGATGATGGTAGAAAATATGTAGCTTAATAGAAATTGGATAATTTTTATGAGTAGGAAATATGTTTATTTGTCTAGCACCATTTTTTATAATGGAAATAAAAAGACACAGTATATCAATAGAAAATTGAATTCATGACACAACATCACTACAGGCAAATAACTACAATTACAAAGTGGTCATTTAAGTAGGGTTGAGCTCCTAAAATCAACTACATGTAATTATGAATCAATGTGATTCTAAATTTTTCAATTTGCTTCTTATATTTTTTATCTAATCACAGATTGAATGATTTAAGTAAATTCAGCATTAGTTCATAAATTAAAATGTTATAGTTCCAGCTTTTCAACTTATATATCTTCATCTGAAGCGGAAAATGTTGAGTTATATCCCTTTGAATTAATGTCAGGCATACCAGGTACATAACATTTCAATATGAAAATCAGATTAATTTTATTTCTCTAAATTTTTTTCAACTTATTAAAAAATAGTAAGGGCTATCCTTTGCTTCCATCTCTAATACCCACAGAAAAATAATATCACCTGGTGTTCAATCCTCCCATACATTCTTCACTGGAAACAGCCCTAATTACACCTCTGGTTTATTTCAGATTTTCATTCCTGGACAAGCCTTGTCTACAGAAATTTGACCCCTCAATCTATTTTCTATATTCAGAGTAAAATTTAAATGAAAACAAAGCCTACCCACATTAAAATCTGCAATAACTAACAAACAGCAGATGAATTATTCCTAAATTGATTTCCATTATAACCAAAAACTTACATTGGTTAAAATATATGGAGCCCAGTTTACAGTTGAATCTACTGGAGAAATCCATGAATCACCAAGAGCCAAACCTTTAAAATTGACTTTTATCTTTCCTGAATTCATATTCTGCAACAAAAATAAATTATGAACAATTAAGAAATATTTGAGTATGAGCATTGATTTGTATAGCTATTGTATTTCAGAAATTTTTATGTACATATTTTATCAAGGTCACTGTCTTATTATTGTTGCCTATGTCTCATTTTCTGTGAAAGTACTTTTATTCGTGGGGTACCAATTTTCGTGGTCTTCGAATTTAAGTGTCCAACGAAATATAACAACTGTTTTCCAAATCAAGATAAGGAACGATCCCATGAACATGATGTAGGTTTGACTACATGGATACGGCGTATAATCTAGAGAAAACATCGAATATAGGTAAACGCACTATGAACTATATACATGTATGTACATCTTCAAACAGGGTTTTACCCACTTAATCTTTAAAGAACCTAAACAGTACGTCTTTTGACCTTTTAATTGTCATGAAAAATTTGTTTTGATCGATGAACGTCAGACTTCCAGTGATGATATGCGATGATGAAGTGTTCATGTTATCTCCTCATGATTCACATACATAAAAAATAATTCCATATTGGGATTGCTTTCTTATTTCATAAGAATAAATTCTACAATTCAAACTACATTTGCAGCAATTTTTTTTTTATGTAACTGTGTTCTTTAAGTGACATGTTTATTGCCCAATTAACTCCTTTTATGATCGTTAATCTGTTGATTATTTGATCTCTGGTTAATTAGTGTCATCACTTCTAATTACACGTGTTTACTTAACAATTTCCGACAACAATTCTGAGACAATTTGTAGGCATAGATAAATCAGCTTATTTCCGGAACAATTGTTTTATTAAAAATTTGATGATTGTTGTCAGTAATGAAGACGATCAAGTAAGTGAAAATGGACACCTAATTTGCAACAAATGATTTATTTTCAAGAATTTTCGTTTCTGATGGCTTCAAATTCTTCACTCATTTTTTTTGTCAGAAAACTAAAATCCACGAATTTAAGAACCCACGAACATGTAACTTTTGCTCAAACCACGAAAATTGATACCCACGAATAAAAGTACTTTCACAGTATACCATATGTTTCTTTTCTGAAGATTTAATTGTCTGATTAACAGGATTTATTAACGACATTTTTTACTCAATACATATGAGTACACATATTCATTGGCATTTTTTTACAAAATTTGTGCTCTAAACACCAAATCCAGTAATTTTTATTGGCTGAATTCTGAGTCTGAACACAATAATCATACTTTAATAATGTTTATGACTGCAAGGCCAGGGTAATTGAGAAACCAATACAATAGCAATTAACGGTTGAGATTATATGTAAAACTGATGTTCACCAAATATCTATCTTGCATAATGTATAATGAAACATGGAAATGTACAGTAGCACAGTGCAGATAAAAAAAAACAGATAAAAATTGTACAAAATGGTAGTGGCCTTTTACTGCTGATGTACAGATGATGAGGCATGGTAAATGGTCAAAGCCATCATAGACTTAATAAAATTATAGAAGATATCTTACCTGATATAATGATTTACTAATGGCAGCTGTCATTTTACCTCCATATGACTCACAAAATATGTAAAATGGAACATTCTAGAAAAAACAAATGTTATTCAGTGGTTGTCATCTAGCATATTTACTTTACGTTTATTGTTTTGTACATAAATCAGGCTGTTGGTTTTCTTGTTCGAATTGTTTTACATTTTGTCATTTCAGGGCCTTTTATAGATTACTATACAATTTGGGTTTTGCTTATAAGTTAACCAAATAATAAATGAAATAAATGGAGAATGTGTCCAATGGAAACAGAAAATTCCCCCTGCTTGCATATAACATTATAAAGGGACAGAAAAGGTGACACCACCCAAAAATTCAAACTTGTTCTAAGTTTTGTGGTACAGGTAATAAGCATTGTGTATAAGTTTCATAACATTTAATTGAGGCAAACTTAAGTAAGAGAACAGAAACGAAAAATTCAGCAATTTTTCCATTTGAAAAGGGCATAACTCTAGAATGATAAAAGTGATACCACCCAAATTCAAACTTGATCTGTGTCTTATGGTAATTAGCATTGTGTACATGTTTCAAAGCATTTGGTAGAAGGAAACTAAAGTAAGATAACAGACCAACTTTCGAGACATACGTAGAGATGTATGAACGGACGTACAGATGGATAAGGGTAACACTTAATGCCCCCTATGCTGCAGCAGGCACATAAAAAGAATATTATTTTTGTACAAAACTTTGGCTTTGGATTGACCTATTGTCCTTTACATCCTTTTCCTTTGGTCACTGGTGAATAGTTATCTGGTTGTCACATTGGCAACCATTCAACATCTCAATATTATCATACATTTAGAATCTTAATCAATGTCAATATAAAAATAAGAATATGAATGTTTTTATTCCTTATGTTTTTACCATTGCCCTGTACTTTGTCTGTTCGATATTACCGTTACTTTTTGAATATATTGATCTTTCACCTTTTAGCTAGTGCAAAGACAGATTAAGAAATGCTTATTTTACAGCATCTTTAAATCATTCGCAATCTAATTTTTTTACATCCACATTTTAATTAGCTTTAAGAAACCATGATGATGTTCGTGCTTAATACTTACCCTATTTCCCATAGTCATCTCCAAATTATGGTTTGTAATAAATTGGAATTTGTCATGCTTTTTGCAAGTACACAGTGTTTTGTATAACGTTTAAATATATAAAAGTTCAAAGTCAGAATAATGAACAGATTGTTTTCTGTAACTGGTTGGCTTAGAGTCAGAATAATGTTTCTGATCTATTTTGCTATGGATTATTTGGCTTAGAGTCAGAAAACGTGTGAAAGAACATGCTGTGAAGCTTTTGTCATCAGGCAAATGCAGCATCATAAAATTCAACTTTTGAGGTACTAGCTTTATACACTTCAAGAACTATGAGAATCCATACAAATTTGTTAATAATTGGATGCTTACCTGAAATTTTTTACCTGTAGGGCTGTTGAAGAATGTGGTAAGAAGAACCATCATATCATTAGCAATCATACTGACATCTGTAGTAAAGGCATCATCACTATCTACATAGCTATATCCTGCTCCAACAGGATTGTCAACATACAATAGACTGGCTATTTTAAGCTGTAAACAAACCATAATATCAAAATTGGTCAAGTAACTTCAGATTAGCAAAAGAGAACTGAAAACAAATGAAACATGTCAGCAAACAACAAGCTGGCAAATGAGAGTTGTTAACAAACAATACATGTCAACAAACAACAGAAAGAAAGTGAGAGAAATTAACAAACAATACATGTCAACTAACAACATACTGGAAACTGAGAGCTGCTTAAAAACAAAACATATCAAGAAACAACATACTGGAAACTGATAGCTGTTAACATGGTTAACAAACAACAAATGTCAACAAACAAGAGGCTGAAAATTGAAAAATGTTAACCACAAATATGTCAACTAACAACTGACTTGAAACTGAGAGCTGTTAACCAACAAAACATGTCAGCTAACAACAAGCTGGAAACTTAGTGCTGTTAACAAACAAAAAGGCTAAATTCAGAAAGTGGAAAAAATACAACACACATCTAAAAAACAATTATGCAAACAAAAAAAAGAGAGTTGCAATGAAAATAACACTTAATTAATAATACCTGGCATTTTGACCTGATTTATCTGATACATATATCTGTACATGCTGTATGCAGTTTTTTCCGAAATCGCAATAATTAATCTCGCATTTTTGTCCATTTTTCCAAAATCACAATAATAAAGGCATGCAATAATTTCTGAATTTACAGTAGATCTTAGAAAACTGGTTAACAAACTGTAATTCTAGGTTTAAATTAGAAAAGTAGGTCTGTATGATGGACATGTCGTAACAACAGTCAATATGAATATGCCTTTACTCAACATAATAACTACAGCACTTACCCAAGTTGTATTTCTGGGGTTCATGTTCACATCCAAAGGTCCTAACTCCATAAAGTTACCAAACCCTGTACTTGAACCTCCAGGGCCTCCCTATAATAATACAAAAGAAACAAATGTGATTATGTCATTCAACAAGTAGCAGAATGTTCAGGTGCCTGTCCTTAGTCAGGAACCTTGTCAGTGGTTGTCTCATGTCATATCTTAAATAGTATTTTTTATGTATTCACAACTTTTTAGACTATGAAGAATAATGATATAGAGCTTAATCATATAAGCATGTCATAAAGAAACCTATTTATTGTTGTAAACTGTACATGATATTTGTTAACTATATGATAGATACTATGGATTCATTTATTTTCATGGGTATGAGTTTTCGTGGATTGAGAAAAAAATGAATTTTTGTGGATATTTGTGATTTTGTGGTTTTGTCAAAGTCTGCATACAAGCCTAAAGAAAATTTGTACTTAGTTGAACATCTAAATTTGTGGATAATCTTTATCTACAAAATCTATGATATTTGATATCCCCCAAATAATAATGAAACCATAGAACTATATTTTGCACAAGAGCAAAATGGCTAAAGATCTGTCAGTACTTTTCTTGATTATACTGTTGTATGTTAATACCTGAAGCCACATAATGAGAGGAACTTGTTGGTATCCCTGCATAGACTGGGTGTATTGTAACCACCAGAACATATGAGCCTTGTCACGTACATCAACATAACCAAAGTCTTGTTTTATGTCAAAAAAGTTACTTGAACCTGCAATGGATAATTAAAAGATGATGAAAATTAATAATCAGTAATTTCAGAGATAATTCTAACACTTCAAAAATGGAGCAAACTGACAAATATTGAATTTTTTACACAAAGACCATTACAGATAAATGGTATATAATTGGTGAAAATAAGTGTAAAATTACTAAAATACTACATCAAACTTTTTTTCATTCATATATCTTAAATGTGTCAGTTTCTACATTTTACCTATGTAACTAGATGTTTTATGACCTTGTCCTGTCTGATAAATATTTACATTGTCATGTATAGTACCTAGATGTTGTATGACCTTGTCCTGTTTGATAAATATTTACATCGTAATGTTAATGGTAATCTTAAAAAAAAAACACTATCCAAGTTATAAAATCTTTATAAATAACCCAAGGACACAATAATTAGTGATGATTTTGATGATTTATACATGTAGCTTGGCAAACTCTGTAAATGTTTCCCAAAAGGATGACTGGGGAATAGAAATATGTCACTCTTGGTCTTCTTACATCCGGCAGTAAAACCCTTGCCAGAGTGGAGCATCCAAGTTTCCCAGACCTTCATCCCAGGCGTCCTCTTTTATAGGACCTACCTATTGTATTTATTTTGTTTGACTTTTTCTGTTTTCCATTGATTTTGTCTAAAAAAAGATTTTTTGCAAGGACATTTTTAATAGTCATTTAAATTGAGCTTTTAATACACCATATGGATTATTATGACTCATTTGAGTGATTGTCTAGGGTGATTATGCAGGTTTGGTAAAATAAGCAAAATCAAAAACAACTAGGCAAAAGAATCATAATTTTTAGTATATACCACTTTTGTCAACCCCCATTATGCTTATATTTAAATATATATTATAATAGACCTGGGAACAGTATATCTAATATATATGTTCCTGAATAGACCTAGGAGATGTTGATGTTTTGCAAATAAATTTTGAAGGCATACTCACTATAAATAGACAAAAAACAGCAAGACATCAAAATATAAACGACAAAAGTATTCATCCTTTCTTAGGTCATTGGTGAAGTAATCATGTGTTTACTGCCCACATGACCACAATAGTGTGACTTGGGATTCCCCTTTTTGTATGAATAAAAGTAAGATAATATTTTAACGTATGATGGCAGCAATTTCTGTAGCATTACTATTTTTTACTATATTTACCGTGCATTTTAGTTTGTAGTTTTTTAGTTATTTTTATTTATTTAATCGAATATTTTATTATTACGACGAAGAACATTTTCAAAGTCTTATCAACACCAAGGATTTGTACAAATCCTTGTCAACACTGATCAAAGGTTGTTCAATTTCGAATTCTTCAAAACATAATCTTTCAGCTACTAATTTCCGGAAAAACCCATCCTAAAACGAAAGCAAACATCCGCATGTATAAAAAAACAACATATTTGATCATATATAACAAAATGTATAGACTCCGGCTAAAATCCAGTTTATGCGATTGTTGAGGTAAATTTATTGTTGTTTGAGTTGAACCATTCGCTGAAACATATTTTTTTTTACGATGCAACAATGCAATATCAGTATAAAACTTAAAGGTTCACCATAACCAGCATTTAACAAAATTGCCTCTGAATTAAAGAAACAAAACTCTGCAATTGTGAAAGTTTTAAAGCCCATCTATTAAAAGCGATCAATAACTGTGTATTTGCATTCAGGTGTCACAGGTCAAATGTATTCGTTCATTGTGTGTTAATTTACGTTTTTTGATTGAGTTAAGCCTTCCAATTGATATATTATAGTGTGTTTTTCTATGTTGTGATGCTATACTATTGTTTCAGAAAAGGGAGAAGGTTTGGTACCATTAAAACGTTTAATCCCGCTGCAAATGTTTGCACCTGTCCTAAGTCAGGAATCTGATTACAGTAGTTGTCGTCTGTTTATGTAGTTCATACGTGTTTCTCATTTTTATATAGATTAGACCGTTGGTTTTTCCGTTTGAATGGTTTTACACTAGTAATTTTTTGGGGCCCTTTATAGCTTGCTGTTCGGTGTGAGCCAATGCTCTGTGTTGAAGGCTGTACCTTGACCTATAATAGTTTACTTTTATAAATTGTAACTTGGATGGAGAGTTGTCTCATTGGCACTCATACCACATCTTCCTATATCTATTGACTATATTATCGTTCATTCTGTACTTTTACCAAGGATTTATCATTAAAGTAACGAGTATTCGACAATCGATTGATTCAACAACAGTTGATTATTCCTTCATTTTTTAATTCAATTCAGGTAAAAAGAATGTATTGAATAGACAACTTAACGATTAATTAATTCAACAAATCTTTAACGAACGATACGATAGGTAACGATTGAAAAACATTTGTCGAATCAATCAACTCAATTTATTCATGATGAATACTCAATCATAACGATAGATACGATCATGCAATAACGATTGAATCAACCCAATTTGTTTAAGACGAAGTTTCAGTCATTACTGTTGACAACGATTGAACATCATTTGCTATAGTTTTACAACATGAGCACTGGGTGAGATTAACTCTATGAAAATAATACATGTGTATGTAAGAATGGGTATGGTGAACATAAGTTCACACAATTGAAAAATGAACAAAAGTTGTGGCACAGGAACAGCGCTTTTATTAATTTGCTCCATAGCACTGGTTTGAGCAGAATTCTTTACTAAAGTACACAGTGTCAAAACTGTACCATTGAAGACACACAGAACAGAGGCATTATTAAGGAGCATTTTGGGGGCAATACAATGTCACCTACTGGTTTCCTAGATTTTTTCATGATTCATGCTATTTCTAAATAATTCACCAAACATCATTCCAATCAACTGCAAACTCTATTGAATATGATCGATAAGATCGTGCTAGGTTTAAAATATTGTATATGTTTTCTGTGCATTTATATCTAAAAATTTCTTTATTTTAGAAAGAATGTACATGTATATTCTGGATGATATATTAGCACAAACTTGGTCAATTTGATTTCTCCAGTTAAGTGTGCTGTCAATTTTAACACCTAATAATTTTTCACATGAAGAATTTTGTAATACTTTTGAATTTATTATTAAGTTTGGTTGATAAGTCTGAATTGATAGTTTCTGCTTTGTTCCAGTAACCAAATATTTTGTTTTATTTGCATTAGCAAAAAATGATTAGTGAACATGTTATTCATTTTGCACCACTCTTCAACCCTGTATAAATCTTCTTGAACATCATCATGTATATTTTCTATGACAATCATACCAGTAATCATTGATAACCAATTATTTTGTTATTTTATTTAGTTAAAAAAATGGTATTGTATATTGTTTTGTAATAACGATGATTATTCTGCTCACTTATGGGTGCCGTGATTGGCACAATAAGATATCGTGTATCTTGTGTACAAAGAAAAGGATATAATGATGGCTTATTCCTCTTTATCTGGATCCAAATACAATTTTGTGAATAGAATATTTTTTTCTTCAAATAAATCAGTGAAAAAACTATGTGAATTATAAGTTTTTTATCCTACATTGAACTTTTGATGTCGTCCCTTAAGGTCTGTTGTCATCCTTTTATCTTCTCTGAAACCACTTATCCGATTGGACCAAACTTTATATTCTCTGAAACCACTTATCCGATTGGACCAAACTTCAGAGCATTAATTTACATTGTATGGAATGTCTTTTAAAATTGATCCTCATTTGATTCCAATTTGATGAAAATCAGGCCTACAAGTACTTATCTTTGATTCTGATTGTCCAATTTTCCATAATGTAGTTTTAGAAACTGAATTGAATTATTGGAAGACACTCTACACACTATACATGTATATATCCTAATTCAATCAATGTTGGCAATTGTTCAGATTGGCAAACATGGCAAACATTGGTGGCCCATATTTCTTAATTATTGAAAATGTACAAAAATAACCTTTTCATCTTCTCTTTTTGCCAATTGTAATTAAATTTGGCAAAATGATACACATGTATTAAAGCTCTCCTGGTTCTTTACACATGATATTTATTTGGTTTTTATGGGATGATAAACAAGGGGAAGAGAGGCAATCTTTAATTTTGAATTGCTGATTTTTAAAACCAATAAAAATAGTTACCTTTGAAGACACCATTGTTCACACTAAACCACAAATGAAATATTCTGTATGTGCCTGTCCCAAGTCAGGAGCCTGTAATTCAGTGGTTGTTGTTTGTTGCTGTATATCCTTTTAGTTTTTTGTTCTTTGTTTTGTAAATAAATCAGGCCGTTAGTATTCTTGTTTGAATTGTTTTACATTTGTCATTTTGGGGCCTTTTATAGCTGAGTATGCTGTATGGGTTTTGCTCATTGTTAAAGGCCATAAGGTGACCTATAGTTGTAAACTTTTATGTCATTTGGTCCCTTGTGGAGAAGTGTCTGATTGTCAATCATACCACATCTTCTTATTATGTATGTTGTATTTGAGACATTGTTTAATCAGAAAAATAATACACACTGTACAAGTTTATCTGCTTATAAAAGGCATTGAATTTTCTTGCCATCTAAAGTTTTGTTCTCTCAAAATTTAGGCAAATCACCAAAAAGTAGAAACAGATCAGGGCTTTAAACATGTACCACCTTAGGTGTTAATTGCTGTGCTTCATCTCAAAGTCACATTTCGTAAGCCTCTCCCACTAATTATTTAGTCTATTCACTTACTTTTATTTATTGCTTGTTACAACTTATATACATGTACCTAATTTCCCTGTACAATTTCCATTATCAAATCTTCATTTGTAATAAATTGCTGTAATGCTTGTTATTAAAGAATTACTGTGCTGTCCTGCTATGAGTTAACAATATTTGAAGGATGACCTCATCAGTTATTAAAGATTTAAAATTAATCGATAACTCATACAGTTTTCTCATTTATAGTTTGAATCAAGGTTGAAATGTATTTTTTTATTTTTTCTGTATTGAAATGTGGTACAAAATTGATTTTGAACAACAACAAAAACAACAAATTTGTTTTATTTTTCTTGATGAAGGTTTTAGGTGATTAGCTAATACAATGTACCTTAGAAAAAAGAGCATTTGCAGTAGTTTTCTACAAATAATAGAGTTTTGCTAAAGTTGACACTTAGCGGTCATCTTGGATTTTCTGTAAGGTGCTTTAGCTTTAATACATTCTAGAAACTGTTAGTTTTTTTATCATTTAAATTTTGGGTGTCTGTGTTTCTCTAAGCCAAAGATGTGTTTTATACATTTATTTATTAATTTGTCTAAAAATAAGGCATCAGAGCAGCAGGGATGTACTGCATTATGAACCTGATGTTGATCATTTGAAAGTAATTTTAACAGTAATAAATATATCATTTATAAGATGGTTAGGCCACTGGCCTACTTCAGTTTCTGTGTAATTTTTCAATGTAAGTCACTTTTCACATTGCGTCAAAAATAGATCCATAGCAGAGTTCTTGAAAAGTGGTGGTTCAAAGGTTTTGACCACCAAAATTTTGTAAAGGACTGACACAATTTTGATATTTTGGAATTGAAATAATAGTGAGGACCAGTAAATTTCTTCAAGGACCACCAGGGAAAAAAAAGTTTTAAGAACTCTGCCAAGGTTATGTTATGACGTGTGAAAATTGTTTATCAGGTTTCCAATAACATTTTTTTTTGCGGTTGTTTTATTTTTTAGTCCACAGTATTCTAGAAATATATGGTTGATAATTATAATTTAGTTTTAATATACATATAAATGCACATCTTTATATTTTAGCTCCTATACTTATTAAAAAGGAAGTGGAAAAGTACTTGTATTAAACAAAAATTTTGCTTTATCATATGTTATATGTAATCATTGAATGATTTAATAGTGATTTCTTCAGTAATTGGAGAAAACCCTAAGTTATTTACCTGTGTAAATGTTTTACCTGAATAGTTTTGTGTACCATATCTGTACCCGAGAGCCTTAAGAATTTTGTTTCTTATGATATAAATAGGTTGTAACATTTAGTGACATCACAAACGAAAACAAGAAGCTCTTGTGTATTGCAATATTTCTGAAGATCATATTTTATTTGGATAATATTTAAAAAAAATAATTTCTTAGGAGAATTTTGTGTAACATAGAAAAATCAGCATTATATTCCTTGTTACAGGTAAGTCTAACCAGAATTAAATATCAGTTAAACTTTGTACTTCCCAGATTTTGTTACTACTAATATTCCCATCTAATTTTTTAGCTTGATTTAATTGGTCTTTCCCATTTAACTCCATGTCGACTTAGACGTCATAAAAATTTATCAATATAACTAAAGCTGAATACTTTTATGCTTTGTTTTGAAAGTTATTTTTATTAAGGATTGACATAAAAAAATGTCAAGTGTCTCCAGGAGGTAATATTTTTGCATCTTAAAACAAGAAGGTACAGTTTGTGGTCAGATTGGTATTAGAATTCAATGTATCTCCCAAATTTCTTAAAAAGAGTTCAATACACACATGTAGCATCCACATGGAATTAAAGGTGGTATTGTGTTTATTTCATTGGTTGGGGGTGCAATCAGAAACTTTTACCTGTTTCTCCAAGTTTACAAAGTTAAATATTACTTTGGATTCATAGGGTACTTTTGCAGATTAATGATTATTCATGGGGTACTTTCACGGTTTTATGATTATTCGTGGAGTACTTTCGTGGATTCATGATTATTCGTGGGGTACTTTCACGGTTTTATGATTATTCGTGGAGTACTTTCGTGGATTCATGATTATTCGTGGGGTACTTTCACAGATAAATGATTATTCATGGGGTACTTTCACGGTTTTATGATTATTTGTGGGGTACTTTCGTGGATTCATGATTATTCGTGGGGTACTTTCACAGATTCATGATTATTCGTGGGGTACTTTCGTGGATTCATGATTATTCGTGGGGTACTTTCACAGATTCATGATTATTTGTGGGGTACTTTCGTGGATTCATGATTATTAGTGGGTCACTTTTGTGGATTCATGATTATTTGTGGGGTTCTTTCGTGGATTCATGATTATTCGTGGGGTTCTTTTGTGGATTCATGATTATTCGTGGGGTACTTTCGTGGATTCATGATTATTCGTGGGGAACTTTCGTGGATTCATGATTATTCGTGGGGTACTTTCGTGGATTCATGATTATTTGTGGGGTTCTTTCGTGGATTCATGATTATTCGTGGGGTACTTTCACAGATTCATGATTATTCGTAGATTCATGATTATTCGTGGGTTACTTTCGTGGATTTTGTGGGTATAGGTTAACAACAAAGTTAAATGGCCAACAAAATTTACATTTTCTATAAGGTTGATAGCAGAATGAGAAAGAAACAAGCAAAACAAATATCCACAAAAATACCACTTTTCTCAATCCACTAAAATTGGTTTCAAAGAAAAAAAATTAATCCACAGTAATTCATAGCGTTTTAGTAAAATTACTTTTGTCTTATAAAAGGCTTTCTATAATATCCATGAAATATACATCAACGTACAATGTAATGACAGACTTTCACCTTATGAACTAGCACATTAAAAAACCAGCTCAGCATGTCTGGATAGTACAAAGCAGGATACATTTTTATATCACAACATCTTGTTCTTTTCCTCATATGTATGTGAAATGTGCCACTGGACGTTAAACACCACTCCATCTGTCATCATCATCATGTAATGACAGTTTATTTGATAAAAGAGAATAAATAGAATCTTGATTATTTGACTAACAAATGTTGGACTATCTGATAAAGCACAAACCCCCTCGCAAAAATGAAATTACAAGGATCATTATGCTCACACAAGAAACATACACTGTTAGGTTTTTGTCTCGCCTTGACAGAGTCAAAAAGCGAGACATAGGTATGCTGTTTCCAGCGACGGCGACAGCGTCAGCGGCGTCAACAATGTATTAGTTTGTGATTAGGTCTAGTTTATGGTGAACCACTAGTGGTAGGTCAATGATATTTGGTATGCAGTTGTATTAGCACATCTCATTACCATGCAGATTATTTAGCCCTGCCCCCTCAGTCATGGTCTATTGACTTCTAAACTTTGCTTAGTTTACATGTATTAGTTTGTGATTAGGTCAGTTTATGGGGAACCACTAGTGGTAGGTCAATGATATTTGGTATGCAGTTGTATAAGCATTGGCATATGTCATTTCCATGGAGATTATTCGGCCCGCCCCCTCAGTCATTGTTTATTGACTTTTAAACTTTTGCTTAGTTTTCATGTATTAGTTTGTGATTAGGTCAGTTTAATGGGGACCGTTAGTGGTAGGCCAATGTTAATTGGTATGCAGTTGTATAAGCATTAGCACATCTTATTTCCATGGAGAATATTTTGCCCCGCCCCCTCAGTCATGGTCTATTGACTTTGAAACTTTTGCTTAGGTTACATATGTATTAGTTTGTGATTAGGTCCGTTTAAGATGAACCACTAATGTTAAGTCAATGATATTTTGTATGCAAATGTATTGGCATTTGCAAGTTTCATTTCCATGGAGATTATATAACCCCAACCCCTCATTATGGTTCATTGACTTTGAAACTTTTACATAGTTTACAAGTTAATGTTTGTGTTTAGGTTTGTTTAAAGGGAACGACTTATGAAAAGTCAATGGTATTTGATATGCAGTTGTATTAGCATTGGCACATCTCATTTCCATGGAGATTGTTTAGCCCTGTACCTTCAGTCATGGTTCATTGACTTTGAATATTTGCATAACTTACATGTTAAAGTATTGCTATTTTAATTTCAACATTTGCATTATCAAAATAACAAATAGGCGAGACATATCTCTGTGTTAACAGTTTATTATCTGACACTTTTTATGCACAAATCTGGGTATTAATTATAACAAAAGGGGTGCTGTATTGAAAGCCATTTAGTTACAATACAGTTGCTATAGATCTTAACATTATTCAGTTTTTTTAAGTATGTATCTTATAAAATATTTGGTGCGCATTTAACATTTTAATGTCAAGGCCAAATCATTTGAAACTTCAAATTCCTGATAAGACTTTGTTTGCCTTTCTTTAGAATTGTTTATTTCACCTTAATTTTCATCTGCACTAACAAGAACATGTTTAAAATACAATTTGTTTCCAAACTGGCAGTAAAAAGTAATAAAAAATCAATTTTGGGAGAAATTGTGTAATTTACATTGTAGGTAGTTAGTTACCAGAAGTTGGTGTCTTTCACACTGAATTTGAAACATGATTGTCGGCAAATTAAGTGTACAATACTGCCTTTTTATTTTTTTGTATAGTTGGGTTGCTGTGTCTTTTACATATATACTGCACATCTCTTTTTACTCATACTTGTAAATCTTCACAAAGAAATCAATGTAGAAATGTTGTCAGAAAATCCATCAGTAGTTGATACCATTTACAAAGTTATTTTATTTACCATATAATCTGTGATAAGCACATCCATTTTGGGTGTTTTCCATGATAAATTGACTAACCAGTAGCTCCTTATCAGTTTTCTATTAAAATGTTTTAAACTGTAATCATGCAATTCACAAAGTCAAATTGTATTGACTGTATAAATATAAAAACTTGTTTGTGACATGATCAGTTTTTGCACTGAACATTTTACACACATCTATGGTTAAATTTTTTAGACATCAATATCTTTATCTAACCTTCATGTTATGAAACTTGGATAGAATCTTCTTCCTGATGAATAAATAGCAATTGAATAAAAATAAAGTTTAAAAAACAAATTTTGATCATATTTTATATGATAAATGAATTTATTACATTTTTAAACAGACAGCAACAACCACTGGTTATACACATTGGGACTGTGAAACCTTTTACACAATTTTGCCTTAAAGTTTCTATTGTTATTTTATAGGCCACACAATGACATCCTTCTAAACATTATCACTCAATGTCATATTAGCCAATATTTGGTCCTTATTGGCTGTATATAGGTGTGACCAAATTAAGGACAAAAATTGTGCTTTATCTTATTCTATATGTTCTGTATAAAGAAACATTGGTTAAAATGTTTGCATCACAGGATCAACTTTTAACACTTGGCAACCTTAAAATGTATGTGTAATAAACAGAAAGGATTTAACATGTCTTTTTTTCTATTGCAGGATACTAATGGAAGAAATGAAAAATGAGTCCAAAAATACTGTATACCGGAAAACATTATCATTCTGACAGGGATGGTCACCTTAAACAGGTAATATATTGTCAATATATTGTCGGACAGGGGGCGTCACCTTAAACATGTAATGTGGTCAATAAATTGTCTGACAGGGATGGTCACCTTAAACAGGTAATATTGTTAATGAATTGTCTGACAGGGGTGGTCACCTTAAACAGGTAATGTTTTCAATAAACTGTCCGACTTAAACAGGTAATATTGTCAACAAATTGTCTGACAGGGGTGGTCACCTTAAACAGGTAATATTGTTAATAAATTAGGGGATTTTCATTTTTTTGAAGAAAAGTTGCTAGCTTTAGGAATACTTCAATCATTTATATGTTGAATTGTTTCATTTAGAATCTGCTAACCTGAGCTTAACAGATTCATCTGTGAAACTAGTTTAACATTTTCAGATTTGTATAGCAAAAGTTTTTGCATGTGTGTGCACTTTTCTCACGTCAAATGCCCATGTATGCAACTTTTTAACCTTCAACTGCTTTTGAATTTTAGTTATGAATTTTGGACATTTGTTTAAGTTTTAATGAGCATAATACAAAAAAAAACAGTAGTTGGAACGCACTACATTTTTCAGCAACTGTCGTAATTAAATGCAGCAAAAAAGTTCAGCTCCAATGACAACTTTGTTAATTTTTTTTTCCATTATGTACACCCACTCCAAATCTTTTCTTCTCTATTGTTAAGTACAGGTTTCATTCTGTAGGGAAATTTTGTATTTCAGAGGGAAAAATTTTTTCTGTGAAATGATTGATTTTCCTATCCTTTTGAAAAAAATATAATATCAAATTATAATATTTATCTCTTATACCATTTAAAGAAGTCTTATTATGTATTGTGTAACCAGCTTGACCCTGAAGATTTATTATAACATTTATTATTGTATGATTTGTATTGAAATGCAATGAACCTTAATTAATTTAAATGTCAGCTTATTTCTCTTCCTGATTCAGGAAATTTTTTATGATTTTTCATGTCTGTGTGAACAAAATTACGGGTACAAATTAAATCACAGTGACACGCAACATGACGCAAGCAGATATCCAGTTGAAATAAAACAATAGGAAAGGAACTATTTATTATAGAGGGTTAAAATTAACTTAAGTTGGATTTTTTTAGTTGTTATAAACATCTGTTTCTATACTCATTAAAAGTTTATTTTTTATTTCTTTTTAGGAAAACGTCTACCTTAGACTGTATAAGTCAAAAAGAAAAGAAAAAGAATGTAAGTTATCATGATTGTCTAGAGGGGGTATTCTTTAATTTTTTAGTCCATTTTTCTCTATTCTTTATATTTTTGGTCCATTTTTCTCTATTCTTTATATTTTTGGTCCATTTTTCTCTTTTCTTTATATTTTTAGTCCATTTTTCTCTATTCTTTGTATTTTTGGTCCATTTTTCTCTATTCTTTATATTTTTGGTCCATTTTTCTCTATTCTTTGTATTTTTGGTCCATTTTTCTCTATTCTTTATATATTTGGTCCATTTTTCTCTATTCTTTATATTTTTTAGTCCATTTTTTCTCTATTCTTTATATTTGTGGTCCATTTTTCTCAATTCTTTATATTTTTTAGTCCATTTTTCTCTATTCTTTATATTTTTGGGCCATTTTTCTCTATTCATTATATTTTAGCAACTTGTTATTCTCTATTCTATCAACCGCCATACAGACCGTTATCATTACCTGATACAAAAAAAATCTTTTTATGTTCAGGAAATAAATTTCATCTTTTTATTTTTTTGATATCTATATCAATTGTAGTTTTAAAAATCTAGACTAATAGTCAATCTTGTTGAAGTCTTGAACTTGAGAAAGAAACAAATCCAAAAATCCAAAATAAAATGAGGTTAATGCATTGTTTAATAAAATGACAACTTTGACATTAAATTTATCATTTAACCCTTAACTATAGAGAAAAATGAGTTCATTGCAAAAGAGAACTTGATTTAGACATTATAATGTCACACTCTAATTGGTAAGAAACATAGGTCCAAGTGTGATTGGAGTCAGTTGTTTACTTTTTCTATTTGCTTCGGTTGTACTTTTACTTCCCATTTTTATTGAAATCTACCATTGTATACGTTTGTTGCCAAAACAGTTCCTGGTGAAAATATACCTATATATTATATTGATTGAAACCCAGTCTCCATTGATCATGCACTACAGTAATTAAAACCAAATGACACATTTAAAAATACAATTACTGTTTACATAAAATAAATGTCCTTGAGTCTATTAGTAATTATATCAACAGACAAAACTTCAAACAAATAACTTAGGTAAAATTCTTCAGAATTTAATCTCTGTAGGCTTGAACATAGATATACAAAATTTCAAAAGCAGTGGAGGTGAACTATTTTTGGCCTAATTTGGCTAAAAAATTAAGAATATGTATTAAAATCTTGATTATTTTAGCTGTTTTTAAATAAATATTAATGAGTATGTGCAAAGTCTTCACCATAAATTTTGGGGTCAAATGATCGTTTAGTTCCAAATTTTCGTCAACATATCACAAAAATTGAAAAATTGCATAGTTATGACACACATCATTTGTACACTGGCGAAATATTAAGATTTAAAAAACCTTCCCTAGTGTGCATATGTATTATATGGGAGGTGTTGTTCATATAGATGAACACTGTCATCACTGTTAAATTATTTAGTTATCTCTCACATGAGCTATATATTTGTTGGTCAGAAAACCATTTTAAATTGACCAAAATCAATTTATTTTCACACATTTACTAAAAAATGCTTTCATAGCTACATATTGTTGTATATCATGGACCTTGATCTACCTATTTTACTTTTGCATGGAATTTTGACTGTGGAGTGTCAATTAAAACAGACTTTTAAGTCTAGACCTTGGTCTTTACTAATTCATTTGATGAAGATAAATATTTTGCATAACAATTAATAACAATGTATAAACAAAAGAAATGGAAAAAGGAAGAGAACTTTTTTCTCTCAGTATTATAGGCACATATTTGGAATCTTACATGTCATAATAACATGTGTCACTTTAAGAAGGAAGCTTTGCTTGGATAAAGACTGATGAAAAGTTCTTCTCATGAGTGTGAATGTCAAAAATTTGTTTTTATAATATAGAAATTTGGACTGCACTTGCAAATAACAAATTTTCTTTTTCTGATGTCAATAAAACAAAAATCTTTGCTCAAACCCTGGCTCAAAATCATGTTTTTGTGGATCTTAGTCAGATTTGGAAAATTTGAAATTTACAAAAAGTACATTTGATTCATATTTCTCTGTTGTTCGTTTAACCTTAGAACAAATTTTAGTGCACTCCTATTCATAATAAAACTTATAGTTTAACAAATCTTTACAATTGTTGAAATTTCATGAATGATAATTTATAAAGCAGGGGTAATCTACATTTTACAAAGTACAAAAAATGTAATATAGGGTAGTAACAATCCAATAAAGTTATCAAAGGTAAAACTTCAAGGTGAAAGGTAGTCATAATGACTATATTTGATGGTTTTACTAGACTTACTATTTATTTTGTTTTCAATACAGGCCGAATTATAATGAGGTTAAAAATCTTGGAGAAAAGTATTCTGATTAAAAATCATTCAAATGGTTTATGAGGAAGAAAATTATGTCACATAATCTTCTTTTGTTTATAGCCTCCAGACTCTTATCCAGTTATCAGTTATCAGATATGTCATTATACAAAGTCACCTGACTGTTAATAAGCTAAGTCATTTGGTTTCTTAAAACTTATCTTGTGAGGTGTTAATTGGGGTGACCTACCTATGGTGGTAGATAATAATTCTACTTAAAACAGGCATGCATCCTTTTATAGATTAAATGTGCTCATTATCTAATAAATAAATGCCGTACTTTGACCTATAATGGTTTACTTTTATAAATTTTGAAATGTATTTGGCTTTGTGATTGTGTCCGATTAATAAAATTTATCTGAAAACTAATCTTTGCAGTTAAACTATATAGATGCCATCGAAGCATGATATGAAGTCAAAATGATCTTTTTTAGTTGCTCAGTATGAGGGTGGTAATGGCTACCCCACATGAAAATTAACAGTTAGATTATTCTTTAAAAAATGTTAATGATACACTAACACTAGCTCAAAAATACAATGTGTTGAATGATGATATTTTTCAAAGCTCAATGACACTGTAATGGTAGCAAAATGGGGGTGTCTGATTCTTGACAATTCATGCCATTAAAATTCATCCTCTAGAATTTGTGAACTATTACACTTAATCTAATTAATTCAAGTCAATGTAGCAGAAAGTTAAAAACAGAGCTACAGATTTTTTGTGCTGGAATACTCTGAATGCTGTTATTTAAGGAGACACTTTTTACTAAGTTATACATGCTATTGAATTTAATATTAAATCGGCAAATTTTGGAAAAATTCTCAAAAAATCAAATGAAATTTTCCTGATATTGGCACATATTAATCTCTTTATAGTTTTACATTTATCACTTTAAGAAAATGTAAATTCATGTATATGACGGAGTTATCTAACAATGAAGTATATGAATTATTTTAACTTTCAGATTCAATTCAAGTTGGACCATTTATACGAACCTTTAAAGAAGAGGAGTTCTGTTTCTTTGAATTAGAAGAGATAGAACTTAGTATACTGGAAGAGAAATTAAAGAAATCCAAACCATTTGTTTGTCTAAGACAGAAGACAGAGGAAGAAGCATATGAAAACTTTCTGTGTTTGACGATTGTTATATATAAGGATGAAAGTCCTGATCGTTTGTTCCTTGGATCAAACAGAATTAAATTGTTTGACAGAGTGGTGCCTGGAAAAACTTCTTATCTAAAAAAATTAGACATAAGACTTGAAAAAACATTTGGTAGGTCTATATGATGATATTATAATTATAAGTATTAAGACAGGAGGGTCAAATATTTATGGGACTGGTACATGTCATTATTTTAATCATTTTGCTCCTGTCACAGGGAATTTGGTGTTGTCTCTGTTGAGTTCATTCATAGCTGCCCTAGGCTAAGGGCAGCTTGATATATAATGGATAGGTACTTATCTAATTGTTGAAGAGCATATGTTGAACTTAAGCTTTCATTAGGTGTTTTGTGTTGTTGGGTCTCACTGACATATACCCCACATCTCTTTTTATTCAATTTTACAAATTGTTTGTGACAAATAAAAACCAATGTCACAAATCAAGATCTTTCTACTTATATATACTTTGTATGTTAATTTACATTTGATGCTGAAGGTATGGTCATCTCAGGGCACTACTGCTTCCTTCCCCAATTAAAACTGGACACCACGATATAGGCAAGAGTGCTGAGTATTAAACACCAACAATCCACCAATAAATGAAATCATATGTTTAGAAAAAAAAGGTATCAGACAAAAACAAGGGGGACAATCAGACGACTAAAGCAGAACAGACAACACCATGCAAAAGAATATTGATTTTAAACAGCAAATGGTACTAAACTCAATTCAATCGTATAAACAACCAATCAAAAAGTCCTTATTGATCTCATGATCCATCAATCAATTGCCTGTCAGTGTTCTGATAAGTCAATTCATTCATCAAGCAGACTCAAACATTTCAAGTCAATTCTCTAATCAATCGATCTGCCAATCGGTCAGTCAGACATCTTTTAGTTATATTAATAGTTTTAGTCAGTCCGAGTACTGTGGTTTCATTATTATACACAGGGTATAATTTTTTATGGATTTTGTGGGTATATAGGTAACTACTAATTCAAGTGTTCAAGAAAATACAAATTTCTGATCATGCAGAATTTGTTAAAACCATGAAATCAAGTTTCCACAAAAATTGATACTCACGAAAATAGATATATATATTTATTACATTGGTTGCAATGAATTACATTGATTTCCCAGTGAAATAAAAACCGATAATTTCACATGTGAAATAAACGTGGTTATTTCACTCCTCTTACTTCATACAACAATAGGCGTTGTCACGACGTTGGATCAAAACAAATTGTGAATGCTTAGTAAAAGATATAGTTCCTTACATATTCTAGTTTAATTTCAGAAAAAAGACCATTTGCCAATGTAATAAAAAGAATAACTAATCAATGTGTTGTTCGGTCACTCGTTGAATATTTTTCTCTATTTGAATTCTTAGATTAGTTATTCTATAAATATTTTGTTTCTATTTACAGGTAAAGTGATGAAGCAGTGGTTTATGTACAGTGTTGAAAATAATAATGAACAACCTGTCCGTGTTATCTTAAGAAAGACAAACTTTTCTGTGTTAGATAATAAATTAAATGTGTTACATTATCATCAGCTACGCAATCTTGAATTCAAAGAAATTCTGGTTAATCCATTGAAGAGATTAATTAATATGGAAATTGTAGAAAAAAGTCAATGTGCAGGTATATTTTCCTTTATTCTTGTAATTATTTTGTAATAGAAACTATAAACTTTAAAAAAAAAATAAAAAAATCTTAATTTGTATAGATATTTGAAAAGCCCATAATTTCATATGGCAGGGTAAAAATAATTGAAATAAACATTGAAAAAGGACATGCATAGGGCCATTCAATCAGTGCTTAAAATTCTTTGAATGTTTAATTGAAATCTGGTCACTGGTTTAAGCATTTTTAAAAGAGATGTGTGTTCAAAGTGAGGGCACACAAATGAACAGACTAATTTAACAAGCAAGCAAACACAACAATAATAAAATACCATCCCTTAAGTATAAATCAGGTGTATAGTAAGGAGATTGGTTTTCCATCACTACAGTTCCCTTTAAACCTAAAGGCTAGAGAGTAAGTATCTACTTGTAAAGGTTTTCAATGAGCAACATAGGCTATAATTCTCATAATTTTTTTTTGTTTAACTATAGCAGCAAATATATAATTAATTTTTTCTTTGCTTTTGTAGAATTTCAGCATGTACATCTTATTAATCTGAGATCATCGATGTCGGGAGACGACAAGGGTTATGATTTCAGAACTCATCTGTGTCATCAGCTACAAGAGATCCATCAGCAAGAACATTGTGTTGAAATGACAAGTGACCCAAGCCCAGATGTACTTAAATGGCTGACAGATCAGAAAACTTTATCTGGGGGTAGTGTTTTTTCTGAAAGTTCATCTCATTGTAATATTGAGGGGTCATCATCAACATGTGGTAATAATCAATTACCACTGCCTTCTCCTCATCACCATGAAAAAAATCATGAAGCAGTGGAGAATTCGGAAAATTCAAGTGAAGGGAACTTTGATGATGGTAAAGGAAGTTCTATATCAGACAAGTCATCGTCTTTCGAGGTCGATTCTATAACTGTGAGTGAGGAAACCATAAATAGTGATAAAATTTCAACTACTTGTCCCTTCACAATGGGACATAGAACATGGGATGACTCAAGTACAGTACCTCCACCAGCTCCACATGATGACACGAACATTGGAGCAATGGAGAATTCAGATGGGAATACTTTGGTTATTGTGAATCAAAGTGATCCCGTCAATCCTCCAAGTTGTAATTCACGACCTCCACAAGGGCATTTGATTAGGGCAGAGAGTGTGGATGTTCTTTGTCCACACAAACAAGATAATAATTTGTGCAATAATGACCTGCCAAATAGAAACAGTTGTTCGAGTGATGATAGCGAATATCAAAGAATTTATTATAAGAATCTGGGCTGGGTAAGATATTCCAATAATAGAGTGAGAATTTTACAGCGTTTTCATAGACAAAGACATTTAGGATTGAATATTACTGATGTTGACTTTGAAGTTGTGAACAAACATGAAAAGTGGTGGGATAATGAATTCAAAATGTGCGAAGAAGATGACATTTTCATGAGGTACTTATTTATTTATAAGCTATATCACCTTCCAAGAATCTCTTTTCTATCATTTCGTATCTGACTCTAAACTTAAAATTAATTTTCCCTTACTAAGATATCCTTATTGTTCACAGTATTTCAGAGTAAAAGTTAAAAGTACAATAATGTTACTTATAATGAAACAATGGATAATATCCTAAATTAACTGCATTTTTCCAGGTTGTATGGTAGTTATTGAAATACATCAAAATGTCATAATGTGTGTTGTACTTCTATGGTCTGAAGATAAGTTCATTGGTAAAAACCACTGTATCTACATATAAGAGTTAAGGAAGTTGGAAGTAAAAAAAATCAGAAGTTGTGAAGCAGACTAACTCAAAGTCCATTTCTGGATATCAGCTGCCTTCCTTTTTATATTAAATTTAATCTGAAATTATATTTGAATTAAGATGTATTTGTTTTTTCCCAAAATCTATTTTTTACTTTCTGTGATGAAATTTTATCTGGATTAGAAATTTAAACCAAAAGAGAGGTAAGGAATACATAATTTGCAGTACCAGTATGAAAGGTTAATAAATAATATGGTATAGCATTTTTATATTCATTCAATGGTTTAAAATCAATTAAAAAATGGTAGGCCAACTTTTTATGCACATGTTGTTACTTAACTAGGAAGGGGAGGAGGGGGTATTTTGTGACTTTCTTCAGAACTACAGGGTGTTTGAGACAAAACATGTGTTATCATTTTGTGGTACCACGAGACAGTTGTAAATTTCAACAATATGCACATATTCTTTTCACAGAACTACCAGGAGTAAGGTGTGTAATAAGAAAGCAGTATCAGAAACAGAATACTGGAATGGTGATGTATGTATTATACTATTATGACATTTTGCTTGTGTTTGATATAATCTATTTTTCCTGGACATAGTTTATGTATTCAAATTCATCTTTTAAACCAACATCAATCAATCATTTTAGTTTCATCTTTGTTCTTTTTATTCAAAAAGTCCTTTAAATGCATCAAATTCAGTATGATTTATATTTCAATAACTGACACTTAAGATCATCAGATCTAAAAAAGATTATATAATATGTAAATCATTTACACCTTCATATTAGAGAGGGAAGTAGAATTGCACACATCAGTTATCACATATGTGCATTTGTTCAAATTCGGTATGATACAATGTAGCTATACACAATATAGACACACTCCCATTCATTCTTATGAGTATCAATCGTATTAAAATTAAATCTCAGCACTCCCTCATCTTTTTATGCTCCCACGCAGCGACCAAGAAAAAAAATTGAGCATGTGCAGAGATTTAATTTTAATTAGGTTGTATGAGTACCATCATCAAGCTTTCAAATTGAGCACTTTTTATTGTCTCGCCTGCGAAGAAAGTCGCGGAATTTCGTCGAGGAACGGAAAGCGAGACATACGTATTGCTTTTCAGGTGACAGCGTCAACAATTGTTAAGTTTTCTGCTTAAGTTAATACAAAAACAAAGGATATGATAGGATTTACTTCTGATAGATTATTGATATTTAATAGAAAGTTGCTTTACTATTTGTACATATCAGTTTAAAGACTATTTTGAGGCCCTGCCCTCTAAGTCATGGTCCAGTGACTTTGAATTAATTAGCAATTTTCAATGTTAAGTTTTTTGCTTACGTCAGTTTGATAAGTACTACTTGTGATAGATCAATGATTTTTGTATAAAGTTGCATTACTATCAGTACATACCAGTTTGACAATTATTTTCAGGCCCTGGCTACTAGAAAATGGTCTCTCGACTGAATAAATAAACCATGTCCATCAGATTGTCTTTTTTTTAATAATTAATGGTGACTGGTGAGACATGTCTCTGTAACAACAGTTTATGAAAATTATAGTCACTTTTAGACTTTTCTTATTAAACAAAATTGAGCACTGGAATTTAAATTTTAAATATTTGTGAGAAATGCACTTCACATCTAGGCAAAAGTTATAGATGCAACGCAGTTTATCCTACCTACATAAATTAAATACTTGGATTTAATTGAAGGTTAAATTTACATTCATATTATTCGTTAATGAAGCGTTTTATTCTATATTAGGAAATTCATTTAAACCTCTGACATCGACAACATAAATCTAAATGTACTTAATAAAACCTTCAATTTAATCCAAGTATTTAATTTATGTAGGTAGGATAGACTGTGTTGCATCTACACTCAGGATGCTCACTGAGATGAGTCCATAAGTCCAGGGCTCTCGGTCACAAAACTTTATTCAGTAATCCGAGTAAAAAATTTGTGCTTGAAACACCAAATCCAGTTTTTTGTTTGGTTGAGTCTGAGTACTCAAAATTTGTATGATCACAAAGCCTGGACTCATGCAAATCTGTCTTGACTCGTCATTTTTTTATCTGATGAGTCCAAAGATGCATCAAGATTGTACAATGTTGTATCTGTGTCTAATGATCATCATGTTTTTATCTGGTGAGTCCAAAGATGCATCAATATTGTACAATGTTGTATCTGGGTCCAATGATCATCATTTTATAGCAAAAGTTCAAAAAGAATCATCGAATTCTTAGGCAACAGGGGCATTAAGTGTTACCCTTGACTGTCTGTCTTTCCATCCTTCCGTCTTTCCGTCCGTCCCATTTTCGTTTCCGCTCTCTAACTTAAGTTTGCCTCATGTTTTTTTTATGAAACTAGGGGCATTGGTGTCCACAGACACATTCTTCTTTTATCTTTCTCTATTTTTTCATAGAAACTTAATTACTGTGGATTCATTTATTTTCGTGGGTATCAATTTTCATGGATTGAGGAACACTTGCATTTTCGTGGATATTTGATTTCGTGGTTTTGCCAATCTCTGCATACAAAGCCAAATTAACATTTGTAATTCATTGAACATTTGAATTCGTGGTTCACCTGTACCCACGAAACCCAAGAAAATTGGTATCCAACGAATAATAATGAATCCACAGTAATGAATTTTAAAGGCTATAATGGTATTGATTTTGCTTTTCTTCCCACTGTTGGACTAGCCATGATTAAGAGGGTGATTCTCTAGACTTGCCTACAAAAATCCTTATTGAGAACCCTGACTTACACTTTATTTATTGAAAATATGCTTTGGTACAGAAACATACTCGTCCTTTCTACAGAAATTCTTTTCATTGTTTTGCATGAAGGTGAAGCTGTAGTGACACATAGTGATCACTTACATTGTCTTGCATTGTTAAAAACCTGTGATATAATTTTCATCAAAAATCATACAAGACATATTGTTACAACAAACATTGCATCAGAGGTTTAAACATCAGTAACCTCTAGCATCTTTATACTTCTAAACCAAAAATTTGTTACTTTTTTTTTAAATTCAAATTTTTTGGAACTTGAGGATTCCATTCAGGTGTTTGAATATGAATATAGTCAATGTTATACCATAATGAAATCAACATAATGTTAACAATTAGGTGTTTTCACAAAGCTGTACCAGAAATAATTTAAAGAAACTTCGATATTGAAAGACATCCCTCTAACAATATAAATTTGATTTGTTTCTACGATTTCTTTTTGGTCCTAGCATATAAGTTGGTGCAACAAAAAAACTTGCTCCTTAAGATATTGGTCAGTTGTTATTGAAAAAGGATTCTCATTTTTATCATTCAGAATTAATCGTTTTATAAAACATAGGAGATTTTGTTTTTAATCTTTTAACAGAAGTACATCATATGATTGTTTTCTTGAAATATTAAATATACACGAATCATCTGAATCATGTCAGTTTTTATGCCCCACCGTAAGCAATGGGGGCATTAAGTGTTACCCTTGATTATCTGTCTTTCCATCCTTCCGTCCGTTGGAAGCTTCGGCTGTAATCTGCTCTTTGGTCGGGTTGTTGTCTCTTTGACATATTCCCCATTTCCATTCTCAATTTTATTAAGATTTGGACATTTGTGTCCTCAGACAAATTCTTCTTTTATTTTAATTATCATTTACCAATAATTGTGATGATGATATTTTTTGATTGGTAAAACAAACCCATTCCTTTTTTGAATGTCAACTATAAAAGTTGTTGTGATGAAGTTTTTTTCCGACTTGTAAAAACTGGGTATAATTTATTGATAAAACTTGAGCAAACTTTGATTGGTAAGATAAACCAATGTTAATTGATTAATATTACTTTGATTTTAGCTGTGCCTGACAGTACAGCTAATGATGGAAAGGAAAAGTCCGAAACTATCAATGGACCTTGACCTGTCCTGGTCCCAGCTCTGTGCTGTTATTATCCACCTCAGCTTAGACCAAAGTCCAGCTTGTATGAAGAAAGATTGGAGAGATTTTGCTGAAAAGATAGGTAAGAATAAGAAATGGTTTGACATATCTTAAAATGACTCCAGGGCCTCTCCTGTTCATGCCAGATACCATCCTATAAAATAGGAATAGTATGCATATTAAATCTTTTTACACAATCTGCAGTTCTCCCAGTTTTTGAGTTGTAAATACAGACAGTGTTCTCACAAAATTTGAACACTATCCTCTTAATCATGACTTAGGTTTTATTTAGGATTCATACTTTAATGCCTGTCATTTCAGAAGTCAGAAAATATTTTGGACCTTTTTTATCTTTTTATTTATTATCTTCTTTTGGAAAAAAATTATGTTGTCACGGAATTGCTTATTTGGTTTTGTGCTTGATGATACTGGTAAACTTTATTTTTATAAATGTACTTTAATATGAAATAAGACAATGTGGTATGACTGCTTATGAGACAACTATCCACTAGAAACCAATTGACTTAGATGTTATAACGTCATAAAAATTGCTTTTGGTATGTATACCATTTCTGCACTGAATCAATAAATTATATTTTCAGGGTATTTCCCATAAAAACATACAATTTAAAAATATTCAGTACATGGATATGTTTATATTTTGATCCATAATGTGTTTCTAAAAATTATAGAAATAGTATCTTAGTGTTAAAAATAGTTTTGTGGTAATAATTTTCTTTAAAACATCACTTAACGCTGATAATTAAAATTTAATAAAGTTTTTACTTCCTGGTTTGAGTATTACGTACTTTACATCATTATCTTGTAATTCAACCATGAACTATTGTAAATAAACATACATTACGTTACTCTAACCAGGATATATCTTAATTTCTTTCTATTTTAGGTTTAAAGTGCAGAGACATTGAAATCATACAATATTTTTGTTATACACAAAGAGAATGGCCTGCAAGAGTGGTTCTGTGTCATTGGAAACTGTTATCAAGCAAATACGAAAATGCATGTGCATTCAATTTCTACAACTTACGAAATTTTTTGTTGGAGCTTGGTCGTCATGACATTTTAAAAATTGTGAATTATTCAGAAACAAACTGTTTTGAGAGAGTGTATGATGATTGTTCTTCAATTACAAAGTTGTGAAACTAGAAGAAATAATGAACATGATAAAACGAGGTCTAAAAATAGGCTCAACTATCATTTTCATTATTATGTCCTCTATGTGAAGAATGTTGTGAAGGGCGACATCAGTGTTACATATCATTTAATGTCATTAGTGTCAAGGTTAATTGTTGGAATTAAATCAATACATTGAAAAACAAAGGGGAGAAAATTTTTCATGATGATTTTTCATTATGGCAGTAATAAGTATACAATGCTTTGCTGGGGTGTGTGAATGAATTCAATTCACTTAAATCACAGGGAGATAATTCATCCAGTGCATAACTATTGTATGATCATTTTTTTAGTTGTAATTATTATAAAGTTATAGGCTCAAAACAAAATATTTCAAATGGCTTGTACAGAAAATCTCAATAGTAGGGAAGTTCATAACTTGTTAGAGCATTGTTTCAAGAATATTATAAAGTTCTTTATGTATTTTTAAATCCTTCTAATAGTCAATGGTCATTTTTGTAACAGTAACAATTATAATGTCCTATACTGTAAGATATTAATTCTAAATGTACACAATTCAAACCATTATTATAACACACACATATATATGTTGAATTCAATGATAAACCACAGAATGCCATTCACTATTTAGTACCTATGGAAAATAAACAAATTGCTCATTTTCATGGATCACTCCAATAATCAAAATTATCCTTTTCCATTTCTGCAAATTTATGATTCCTAATTGAAATTTGTATGCCAATTTGTCTGCTAGTATATAACCATCCCTTCAGTTAAGTTACCTACAGAAAACTATTAGAACTGCCTCTTATTGGCTGTGGGATGGACATAAGGAATAGAAAACTTTTAATTGTTTAAAGTATTGTGTAATTTAAGAATTTTGAAAGATGTGTAAAGTAATTTTTACTGGAGTCATTGTTGGTCAATTTTTATACGACCGCAAAAAAATTTTGTGGTCGTATATTGGTATGACGTTGGCGTCGTCGTCGTCGTCGTCGTCGTCCGGCGTCGTCGTCGTCGTCGTCCGGCGTCGTCGTCCGAATACATATTGGTTTTCGCACTCTAACTTTAGTTTAAGTGAATGGATCTTTTTGAAATTTGACCATAAGGTTAAATACCACAAAAGGAAGGTTGGGATTGATTTTGGGGGTTATGGTACCAACAGTTAAGGAATTAGGGGCCAAAAAGGGGCCAAAAATGAGCATTTTCTAGTTTCCAGACAATAACTGTGGAACGGTGTATGGATCTCTCTGAAATTATACTACAAGTTTCCATACCACAAAGGGATGGTTAGGATTTGCTTTGGGGGGTATGGCTCAAACCGTTTAGGAATTAGGGGCAAAAAAGGGGGAAAAACAAGGTTGTCCTGGTTAATGGACAAATACTTTAGTACAAAACATAATTTAAAGCAGTGTAAGGGAGATAAATCAAATACATCATTGAAATTATCTCCCTTACACTGCTTTTAAATTATGTATAAAGTAATGGTTAATGAACAATAAAGATAATCTAAAACAGTGTAAGGGAGGTAATCCAAATACAACGTTTTGGTTACTTCCCTTACACTGCTTTTAAATTATGTTTAAAGAAATGCATATTTATAAAGGAAGACCAGTAAAAATATCTGCAAATGTTTTCATCTTTTTTTTTTACAAAAAAATCCATATGAAAGATTTGACACTATATTTTTATTAATTCTATTATAAAATAGATTAAGTTAGCACTATGGTAAATTTAAATGGGTAATTATGGTTGCCAACTCCATTGGAAATTTGAATTAAGATTATGACCATATCTTGAGGGAAAGAATTTTTTGGGGGGAAAAAGGGGGGGGATAAAAAGAAATTGTGGGGGGCCAATTTTTTCTCATTTCAGATTTCAGAAATTAAAAAGAATTATTCTTCAAATATTATTTTTTTTTCAAATTTCAAATATTGAAAAATTTCAAGAAGTAATCTTTAATTGCACAGTATGGCGCATTAGATTTGTAAAATCTTTGATCACATTTATTTATTTGTTATGCCGAATCTAACAGTGTATTTAGATTTTTAATTTTGGGTCCAGTTTTCAAATTGGTCTACATTAATGTCCAAAGGGTCCAAAATTAAACTTTGTTTGATTTTAGCAAAAATTGAATATATGAGGTTCTTTGATATGCTGAATCTAAACATGTATTTAGATTTTTGATTTTTGGCCCAGTTTTCAAGTTGGTCCAAATTGGGGTCCAAAATTAAACTTTGTTTGATTTCAACAAAAATTGAATATATGGGGTTCTTTGATATGCTGAATCTAACCATGTATTTAGATTTTTTATTTGTGGACCCCGTTATCTAATTGGTTCATATTGAGGTCAAAAGGGTCCAAAATTAAACTTTGTTTGATTTCTTCTAAAATTGAATTATTGGGGTTCTTTGATATTCCAAATCTAACCGTGTATTTAGGTTTTTAATTTTGGGTCCTGTTTTTTAAATTGGTTTACATTGAGGTCCAAAGGGTCCAAAATTAAACTTAGTTTGATTTTGACAAAAATTGAATTCTTGGGGTTCTTTGATTTGCTGAATCTAAACATGTGTTTAGATTTTTGATTATGGGCCCAGTTTTCAAGTTGGTCCAAGATAGGGTCCAGTATTTAAACTTTGTTTGATTTCAACAAAAATTGAATATATGGGGTTCTTTGATATGCTGAATCTAAACATGTATTTAGATTTTTGATTATGGGCCCAGTTTTCAAGTTGGTCCAAATTGGGGTCCAAAATTAAACTTTGTTTGATTTCAACAAAAATTGAATATATGAGGTTCTTTGATATGCTGAATCTAACCATGTATTTAGATTTTTTATTTGTAGGCCCCGCTATCAAATTAGTTCATATTGAGGTCAAAAGGGTCCAAAATTAAACTTTGTTTGATTTCATCGAAAATTGAATTATTGGGGTTCTTTGATATGCCAAATCTAACCGTGTTTTTAGATTTTTAATTTGGGTCCCGTTTTTTAAATTGGTCTTCATTGAGGTCCAAAGGGTCCAAAATTAAACTTAGTTTGATTTTAACAAAAATTGAATTCTTGGGGTTCTTTGATATGCTGAATCTAAACATGTGTTTAGATTTTTGATTATGGGCCAAGTTTTCAAGTTGGTCCAAGTTGGGGTCCAAAATTAAACTTTTTTTGATTTCAACAAAAATTGAATATATGGGGTTCTTTGATATGCTGAATCTAACCATGAATTTAGATTTTTTATTTGTGGGCCCCGCTATCAAATTGGTTCATATTGAGGTCAAAAGGGTCCAAAATTAAACTTTGTTTGATTTCATCAAAAATTGAATTATTGGGGTTCTTTGATATTCCAAATCTAACCGTGTATTTAGATTTTTAATTTTAAGTCCCGTTTTTTAAATTGGTCTACATTAAGGTCCAAAGGGTCCAAAATTAAACTTAGTTTGATTTTAGCAAAAATTGAATTCTTGGGGTTCTTTGATATGCTGAATCTAAACATGTGTTTAGATTTTTGATTATGGGCCCAGTTTTCAAGTTTGTCCAAGTTGGGGTCCAAAATTAAACTTTGTTTGATGTTAACAAAAATTGAATATATGGGGTTCTATGATATGCTGAATATAACCATGTATTTTGATTTTGGACATTGGACCATAATAGGTAAATTAAAAAAATTCAAGTTCTTAGACCACATTCTTTCTGTGTCAGAAACCTATGCTGTGTCAAATATTTAATAACAATCCAAATTCAGAGCTGTATCAAACTTGAATGTTGTGTCCATACTTGCCCCAACTGTTCAGGGTTCGACCTCTGCGGTCGTATCAAGCTGCGCCCCAGCGAAGCATTTTATTTTTGAATGAAAGTAAGTGGAAAACCAAGAGTGTTTGTTTTTATGAATTTTATCTGTAAATTAATTCTAAACAATTGCATGCATGCTATCCAATGGATATTAAAAGATGAAAGTATTTTGAATGGTTGTTTGGAAATGTCGATGCGTCAGATATTGTTGATTTTGTAAATAGCTATTAACAATGGTTGTATTAAAGTTATTTCTTATTATGAAAATTGACATTAAAAAACATGTCAAATAAATTTTGTGCTTTTGTCTTTCTTGTTAAGTATAGCTCAGCTTAATTGTAAATAGAACTTATATAGATGGTACTTGAATGGATAGGTTTTTTATTGATTGTTTTACAGTTATGAATATAATGATATTTGGTCTAGATAGGCAAACTTACTTGACTACCAATATAAAAATAAAGAGATGCTGTACGATTGCCAATGAGACAACTATACCCCAGGGTTCAAATGACATGGATATAAGCAATTATAGATCACTGACAGCCTTCAACAGTGAGAAAAAAACCCATAACTTATAGTCAGCTGTAAAAGGCCCTGACAAGAAAAATGTGAAACAATTCTAAAGACAAAATTAAAGCACTAAATTACAATGATAAAATTTATGAAAAACAATGGTGACGGACATGAAACTACGACAACAACTGAATTACAAGCTGGTGTTTTTGAGCTCTCAACCCTCCCATAACCTGAGAAAGCGGTGTAATAGCACAACATAAAAACAAACTGTAATAATTAGTTCTCAATGGCTTAACTCGATAGAACATTACAAAGCACAAAAAACAACTAACATAAAAACAATAGACACAAAGCAACAAAATTAGAGTACACCCTCTTACTGAAAGCTAGTTCAAGGCCAATTACAACTAATAAAAGAATCATGCTGTCCCAGACTTAAGTATCAATCAGTATAGATCTAATGGATTTAGTGTAAACACATCATTGATAGTGAAAAAATGCATGACCTTGAGCAATGCCAAAATGTAAGAAAACAGTATTGAGAGGATATAGGATTATGAGTAATATCATAACTCAAAAACAAAATCAATGTTAGTATCGATAAAAACAATATTCAAATATTTTACTACAGTTTTGAATTGATTACCTTCAAAAATAAGAATATTCATATGATCAATCAGTTTACATATCTTAATTTATGGGCTCTATAGAGAAGGACAAATATTTTTATCTGTATTGGATTTATTCAAAGTACCAAGTTAGGTTATTGACAATGTGTTGTTACTCTTCCCCTAAACTTGGTTATATTTTCTATTTTCTGTTTTTTTAACTTTTATAATTGTTAGAATTTTTTCATTGTTTATAAAAGGGAATATGGAATATGATCTTAAGATTTGGACAATGATATACTGATAAAGAATATTTATATTGGATATAAGAATTTAAGATATAATATTATAGTTCGAACAAAACACAGGTGGTGGTGTACAAAATGTAATTACCAATGAGACTTCTATCCACTTCTATTAACCTGGGTCCAAAAACTAAAATGCAACACAGTGAACATCTGAAGGTTGTTGTGCCGTCTTCATTATTACAAAAAAGTTGTTTTATCGTTAATTGTCTCCTGCATGACCTGTTGCTTGGACATCTAATTGTCCACCACACAATATTTGTAGAAATAACAGCAACCATCCGTCTGGTCCTGTAAGCTAAGCACTAGTACTATCACATGTACAATTCCTGCCAGATTTTTATGAAATTTATTCCACTGTTTTGAAAAATCAGTGATGATCTACCATTTTTAAAGGAGTTATGCCTCTTGGAAATATAAATTCTATAGAAAACTGCATTGAGTGCTCTCAGGTGTACATTTTTTGCTCGATATATATGAAATTTATATCAGCAATGTCTTGAACAAGTTGAAAATCAGTGCTGATCAACTGTTTTCAAAAGAGTTATGCTACTTGGAAATACTTATTGTATAGAAAATTGCTTTAAATTGTAAGTGCTTTCAGTCTATATTTCTTGTAGTATTGTTATGAAATTTATGAGGTTAATATATCAACAATGTCTGGGATGAGTTCGATAATCAGGGCTTATTAATTATCTTTACAGGAGTTATTTCTCTTAGAAATGTAAATTCTATAGAAAATTGCTTTGTTAGCACTCTC